AATGGGTAAATATCATAAGGAAACAATCAAGCCAAACAGTACCAGTGATTGGAGTACAGTTTGTTATGTTCGTTTTGCTGACAACATGCCTGGAAGATCAAGGACCAAAGATGACTGGAAGATGTTATTTTCCAGGCAGAGTCTTACAAAAAAATATGATAAGGCTAAAGGTAAAGATAAATTGCCTTCCCTATCCAGAATTAATTAGTTTGATCGTAGTCAAATTCTATGCATGGAAACAATGGATTCACTAATGGTTCACTCTGAAATTAAAGTTCAAGTACGAAAGAAAGATGGCAAAGTTGTGTGTGTTTTGATGCTTGATGAAATTTCAATTCACAAATATATGTAAAATGGGATGGCCATAAAGTTTGTGCTCATGTAAACATTGATGTTCAGACTGATGATGACTGAATGCAGATGTAAAATCCATTGAGTTTTAAGTAACTTAATGGTTAAATCATGTCATACTTTATCAAAATGTTTTAGTTGATTCTTGTTTGAATGTTACTAATATCTAATGCACACAATAATGAAGCATCGACGATTTAGTGATGAAACATAAATGTTTCAGTACTATGTATTTCTTCTTATTTTCTGTTTTGGCTTTGAAAAATACGTTAAGTTTACTTAGCTATTAGAATACAGAATGGGAATTTGGTTTCTTCAATTTTTTGCTTCTTTATTCTTTTCATGAGAAGGATGAGATAGAGGTTGTATATTTAACAACTTTATAATTTCTAAAAAGCTTTTAAGCTTCTAGAATAAAAATACACAATGTATATATAATTCAATTGTTTTCATTGCCTTACTATAATATATGCATTATAATATAACACACATGCACTTCGTCATTCTTGTATGAACACAACACCAGTTGTGGATACTCAGAAAAAAATCGAGAAGCAACTGCTTTTGAAATTTATTATTGAGATGAATTTGTATTAATCATTCAAATGGTGAAATTACATTCCAAATATAGATAAGACAAAACAAAGAGAGAAACAACTAGAAGTGTTAAAAACACAATTGTGTATTCACAAATTTCAATTATAAATCCAATTGCAAGCACAAGTTTTTTCCATAATTATTTACATTTTGCTTATTTAATATTTCAATAAAACAAAATAAAAGTGTGTAACATCTTAACAGTATCGGTATTAGATGCAGTTGTATTTCAGAACACAACAAAAATGTAACTTAGTGATTTATATACACTATTGATTGTTTTCATTCATCTAACTTATGGAAACTCGAGTTTTTTAAAATTTATTATGAAATTTAATCACTGGAAATTATATACAATAAGTCAAACTGTAAGTATCAAAAGATTTATAAGTTATTTTTCAAAAGCAACAAGGTGCAAATTGTACAATTTTGTCGAAAAAGGCCATCGCCCAATGCATGTAAAGAAGCAAAAAATTAATGATAACGAACAAGCTAGCTTTTCTCTCGTGAACCATAAGGATAAACTGTGGTATACATTTTTTTCTACAGATGACTTACCTTGTTTACGTTTTGCTGGTTGGCAGATTTGGTCGAGTGCTTCTAGACAGAATGAGCAACAGTGGTTAACCTCGCTCCTTTCTTAAGTGAAAAATTGTGAAATTTACGGAAAAGCAGTCATTTTCGGCAAATCTCAGCGGCAGAGGACCAAATCTTCCATGTTTTTTACAACATCCGTTATCTAGAGCCACACTTAAGATAACCTTTCCAGTTATTATAGAACTCAATGGTGCGTACCATTGAGTTTTATAAAACCTGGAGGGAACAAGGCGCATAGACTCGGTTGTCAAAAATATAGAAGTAATGGCAGATTTTGGTTATTAAAACTCCCACTTTGAGAAATATTTTTGACATTCGCTCCCCTCAGAATTCGGATTTCTATTACTGTTTACACCCATAACAACCAGAGAAAACATTCACGTTACAGAAAGCATATCGTTTTCTATTAAAAACAATGCTTCAGGATTTTTGGCAATAGATTGGCACATTAAGATGAGGAAAATCTACGGTAAAGTAACATATATTTTGTGAAATGATGTTTTAGCTATATTTGCAATAAACGTACATCAAACAGCAAACGACATTCTTTAGTACAATTGTTAGTGTTGTCAAGCTTGCACATAATGTATGCACGCTACTTTTGTGTTTGACTGTTTGTAAACAGTTCTAAAGATAGCAAATACCATAGTGAATAGTAAAAGTAATATAATAAGTTGATAGTTCTTAAAAGAACTGTTTTAAGTAAAGAGCACTAACCCGATAGTTCTAAATTAAACGACACGATGCATTTCGGCAGACCACTCCTCAGGTGTCAACGTCTGCTAAATAAAAATTTGCAATCTACCGATATTTATAATGCCAAGACAAAATGTACGTCATCTCCAAAAGGGGAGATGACGCTCAAAACAGGAATAAATTAAAAACATAATCCTTTTGTCAACAGAGGACAGGATTGCTTAACTTAATTAAAACAGCCAGGGTTAGTGCTCTTTACTTAAAACAGTTCTTTTAAGAACTATCAACTTATTATATTACTTTTACCATTTACTATGGTATTTGCTATCTATAGAACTAGAGACAAAATCTCTATTTTATTGTTTGTTAACAGTTTGGGGCAACCGTCTTTTCTTGATTAGATGGGTAAATTTAAGTTAAGATGCCCGAAAAGGAGTGAGAAAAAGTTTGCTTACACCTATGACTTAAGTCAAATGTAAATATATCATGAATATGTAAGTATCTAGTTTTTTATTTATTTTCATCGGATTGATTCTAGGTGTCTTATAAATTATGACGTAATGATATTCTGATACTTCTATTGAGAACTTATAAAGAAAATATCTTGAACTGGAAGAGAAAACGAACAAAATTCAAAACACTACGATCATGTTGCTGGATGGAAATTTCTTATTTGAGACAAGATATTAGAAAATGGATTGTTTGTAAAGTATTTGGTACAACCTTGGATCTATTACTGAACAGAAATGCATTAATTTCCCATTGAAAATATGATTTCTGAAATTAAAGTGCATCGGCTTCTCTGACATAACAATTTGTTTATTGCTGCACGAGGGCAAACCCGTTTAAATAATTATTAAGGAGGTGCAGATATTTAGCAAATTATATAATTCTTACCGTAACTGCGTAAAAGCACTATTGATAATGCGCATTTAATAAATTACACACGTTTTTTTAAAATGAACATGTTTCAACGTCTCATGATGCCATCTTCAGTATAATAAAGAGTATTATGTATGATGATAAATATATATAAAAGTAATATGAGTGATAATACAGTGATAAAATTTATACAATTATGAGTAGATAATATATAAATATTACAATGAAATAGTGGTTAGAATTAATGAGAGTGCATTTACAGGGTAAATATGGTGTTAAAACAAAACACTTGAACGTTGAGATTAGGTTAGTTTTGTAAAGTGCTTCTTTGATTTTAAGTGTGAATGTAGTATCCACAGTGTCAATGATTTTAAAGCAAGAGAGTGAATAGTTAGTTTTGCATGAAGGTGATTTTTAAAAGATGTCGATAGATATTTGAGTTTTTGTCAGTTGTGCTTTGTTCTCTGATTCTGGTGGACAAGTGACGGGAAGTTTCGCCAATAAATCGGGAATTACATCCCGCACAATCGAATTGGTATAGCACCATAAATTTAAGAGACTCAGAGATAGGATCTTTGAATGAAAAGTAATTTTTGATTTCGATTTTGAAGGAAGTGAAAATTAGTGGGATATTAATGTCAGTGCAGAAGTGTTTGATGATGTTTGTAAGTCTGCGATGTTATTACAGATATTGCTCTGACATTTACAATTTTGATCACGGAAAAGCATCATCTTTCAACAGCATCAGCTATTTTGATCAGAACACGCAGGCATAAAATCTCGATTAACCGTTAAACCACGAGATTGAACTTATTCCTTCGAAATTCTTCCTTTATATTATGTATATACTCCTTCGAAATTCTTACGAGCAGGGACATCCATTTAACGAAAAAAATTATTAATCTTAATTATGCGCTAAGACTATAATATTTTTTAAAGTTTTGAAGCATTTATATTTCTTCGTGTGAACATTTTATGCACGCTTATAGCGTCAAGACCCTAAGGAATGTCTGATAAGTTTGATTAAAAAATGGATTGCTTTTGATTGCTTGCATCCACTTTACGATTTGCAAATTTAAATTAAATGATCTCCTCACTCATCATTTCTAAACAAATTTGAAAATTGCACAAAACCGTCGATAGAAATTTGACGAAGTAGTAACTTTGTTTCAACTGAAAATACACGAATGGACACAGTCAAAAAAAATTTATCCATACAATGACAAAAATGGTGAGCTTGAAACTGCAAATTGCATAGGTTGCTTGAAATTGTCTCATTGTGCTACACAAAGCTACTTTAAAAAGTTTAAAGAAAGGATTAGATAACAAAACACGATTGAACAGTTTTTTTCAGGTAAACAATTAAATTAAACAAATTTCTAAAAGGTTAAATTAGTTTCTTTTATGCTGTAAATAATCTTTTAGAAATTTTCTTCAAACTTCATACAGCAATTACTAAAACAAATCAATAAGAATCAGTCAATCGTAACAGACAATTACAATAGTATGACAGGTAGTTTGCACTTCTTATGGCGCGTCAAATTATAAGAGAATTAAAAACGTAAAACAATTTGTGATATGTCGCCAATTGTACTTTAGAAAAGTTTATGCTTCTTTTGCGTAAAACTTTTGTGAATAGAGTCTTGTCTGCTGAGTAGTGTCACGTACTGAATTTCTCTAGCTTTTGATTGCCTTACTATATATTTTTGAGTAAGGCAGGTTTCCCATGGCATTTACTCCTAATCAATAAGTACAAATGCTTCAATCAACTTTATTTGCTTTTTTTCTGCAGCAGACGAAAACTCAGGAACCTGTCAACCGTAGCAGCATTTGTGTTAAAAAGGAACAGGTCTTTGTACTTTTCACGATGCTAAAAGTAATGTCAGAAATCGATGAACTTAACGGTTGATCAATTTCTTTACGAAATCATCTGTTTGTAGTTGTGCATCCAGAGGCATTTGTATTCAACAACCACAGAGAGACAATCTATACAAGCACATTTTGTGATATTGACAACAATAGCTAAAAGAACAGATTTTCTACTTGAAATAAGAAAACCTTTTGATGTGAGTACTATTTGCGTGTCGCTTTATTTTGACTTTATATTTAGCATGACTAGACTTTCTATATGGTTCAGCCCCATTGAAGTGCATTACTTAATTGACTGGGTAGAAAAAATTCACCTGTAGAAATAATAAACAGAATTGCCTACTCGTCTATTTTTAATTGCTATAAAATCAGATTGAATTAAATCAATGCTCTTGGCGTTGGATGCTAAAATAAAGCCAACGTTTTGAATATAACACTCTAGACATTTCCATTGCATCATTATAGTATTGTTGTGTTATCAATCTCTCCTCATCAGTGAGCATTGAATAACCATTTTGCATGACTTGTTTAACTCCCTCCATATCATTGTCCAATTCAAAGAAAATTCAAACATGCAGTTTATTCTTTATTATATCCGATAGTATCCTGGTCATTTAATTCTTTTCCGACCATTTTATTTTTTCATTCTTTTTCGTATCAAACCAAGTTTGAGAATACTATACGTAGACAATGTCTTATCGAGCGTCGCGAAAGCCTCTACAGTTGGAGCATTTCTGTCCTCTTAGTTTCTCACTTCAAGATCTAGATTTTCACACTAAATACAGCTTTTATACCAGGCTTTTTCTTTTTTCCATGCATGAGCTACTTGTCGTGCTTTCTTCTCCACAAGTTTTGAATGTCACTTATGTGAATACGTTGCTGCCCTAATATGCCTTCAACCTCCATCTTGAGCCCCTTTACAAAGACATTTTGCTTTCAAGACACTCCTCCATTCGACCTACTTCTTTGCAATATAAACCAAAGATCGTAAAGCTTCTTCTCGGTGTTTGTTTTCTCCTTCATAGTCAGCCTAATTTTACCATGATATACTTGGGCGCCTTCATTGTTCAATATTTTAGTTACTAAAGTTTCGAATAACCTTCCTCAAAGAAACGATAATCGTCATAGAACCTGTAAACTGCTGAACCTTGCTTGTCATATTCAGTTCCTTGGCATACAAGATAATTATTTTTGACAGTAACTATCATAACTATAATACACGATCAAAGCGAAATATCCACAAATCATTCGCACACAGAAGATGGGGGCACTGGACAACAATAAATTTTGCAGCGGACGTTTGGAATGCCTTACCCCTTTCCATAAGAGATGTGCCCATCTTAAGCCAATTTAAGAGTGGTATCAAGAAAGCACTATTTTAATTAGTTTCGTTTTTAGCATGTTAATTTTCAAATGATGTAGTTTTATCTTCATATTTTCGACTTGTATTCTTTTTCTTTTTATTTTTAAATAGTTATATTATATTTAGTTACTTTTAGAGGACCCCTCTGTAAACCACTTTTTAGTGATGTTGGCATCCTCAATAAAGATTAGCTATTATTATTATTAAATATATTATAAAGCCCAAATGGGGTGAGATGTCTAAATAATTGATAGCATCGCGAAAACGTGAACGGTTCTTGTATTATATCATGTAGTTAATTCTTATATAATTTATTACAGACATTGACATTTAAAATTTTGCTCAAGGAGAAGTATCATCTTTTCAATAACATCAGCTATTTTGATCAGAATTATCTTACAATGACCATTAACCGATAAAACGCAAAATTTAACTTACTCCTTCGAAATTCTCCCTTTATAATATATACATTCCTTTCAAATTCCTACGAGCACGGACATTCATTTAACGAAAAATTTTTTATCTTAACCGTGCACTAAGACTATAATATTTTTTACAGTTGTGAAGCATTTATATCTTCTTGTAAAACCATTTGATGAACGCTTATAACGTCAAGACCCTAAGGAATGTCTGATAAGTTTGCCGAGTAAATCTTTTGACGCCCACGTGTTTGGGCTGTCGGGAGATCGCTTAAAAAATGGTTGCTTTTGATTGCTTGCATCCACTTTACGATTTGCAAATTTAAATTAAATGATCTCCTCACTCATCATTTCTAAACAAATTTGAAAATTGCACAAAACCGTCGATAGAAATTTGACGAAGTAGTAACTTTGTTTCAACTGAAAATACACGAATGGACACAGTCAAAAAAAATTTATCCATACAATGACAAAAATGGTGAGCTTGAAACTGCAAATTGCATAGGTTGCTTGAAATTGTCTCATTGTGCTACACAAAGCTACTTTAAAAAATTTAAAGAGAGGATTAGGTAACAAAACACGATTGAAAAGTTTCTTTCAGGTTAACAATTAAATTAAACAAATTTCTAAAAGGTTAAATTAGTTTCTTTTATGCTGTTAATAATCTTTTAGAAATTTTCTTCAAACTTCATAAAGCAATCACTGTAAATAATCTTTTAGAAATTTTCTTCAAACTTCATACAGCAATTACTAAAACAAATCAATAAGAATCAGTCAATCGTAACAGACAATTACAATAATATGACAGGTAGTTTGCACTTCTTATGGCGCGCCAAATTATAATAGAATTAAAAATGTTAAATAATTTGTGATATGTCGCCAATTGTACTTTGGAAAAGGTTATGATTTTTGTGTAAAACTGTTGTGAATAGAGTCTTGTCTGCTGAGTAGTGCCACGTACTGAATTTCCTCTAGCTTTTGATTACCTTACTATATTTTTTGAGTAAGACAGGTTTCCCAAGGCACTTACTCTTTATCAATAAGTACAATTACTTCAATCAACTTTATTTGCTTTTTTTCTGCAGCAAACGAAAACTCAGGAACCTGTCAACCGTAGCAGCATTTGTGTTAAAAAGGAACAGGTCTTTGTACTTTTCACGATTCTTAAAGTAACGTCAGAAATCAATAAAGTGAACGGTCTATCAGTTTTTTTAAAAAATCTTCAGTAACATAAAACAGATTGGAAGCATCTTGCCTTTATAAAGAACGCTGATTTCGCTGTTATTGGTAAAGCAACGTATGATGAATCTCCCGTTTACATTTTTGTTGCTTATTATAAAAGCAATTTCATATTTGAAAGGTAGGTCGTCGTTGTGTAACAACTAACACTCAAATACTCGTATTAAGCTACACTTCAAAATATAATTTGAAAATAATGGCTTTATAGAGGACGGCAGCAGCTATTCAAGAATAAATTTTATACAATTCATTGCTTTTTGTTGAAAAGTAAGGTTCTAGAATGGAAACTTAAATTAGTTTGAAATGATAGAAAATGCTTTTAGATGTTTTTAACTTTGGGAGTTTGATTAGCATAAACATTCTCTGGATTAAGAAGCTTGTTGTTTGTTTTGATATGAATAGCCTGCTTATTATATAAGTTCAACAATAACTCTCCTATTTTGATCGGAAAAATTTTATAACAGGATGTCGCAGTAAAGCTGCGTTTGTAAATAATGCTCTAATTATCCATGCAGGCAAAGTTAAATCTGTTGTTGTACAGAATACCTATGCTCTATGCCATGGACAAAAAAAGGGTAAAGAAAAAGTCTGTATAGAAATGACCACAAGACCATGTATTCAGTTTTTATACGCATAACTAGTTTTACTGACAATAGGATCTATATTTGTGACAATTGTAGTAAGTTTTAAAAGTACCTATTTAGATGTCTTTATCCAATAAATTCGTTTAGACATAATTAATAAATGTTCCCTTACCTGTTGGTTGATCTAAACATAGGTTGCTCGAAAAAACTTTCATTGGTCGTAAATTGTTCAGTGATTTTAGTTCTGTCTCGTCGAGCCTATTAACATCAAATTCGCAAAACGAAACACTTAAATACACATACCGGAGTGTTTTCTGTTTTTAAATCAACTGCATTAAGTAATGTTTTATAACACGCGTTTTGTTCATGGAGTTTTGCAAACTTCTCCACTAATTGTTGCTGATAATGCTTTCTTCATCTTGACTCAAAGGACTTCTAGTACACCATTTGCTTATCATTAGAGCACATTGGACTTTTAATTACACGCTTTGACTTATCATAAATCCAATACGAAACTAGGAGCAATCAAGAGCACTTGGTGACAATCAATGGCAAGAAATCCTATCGAGTTGGTGTAAAAACATTTATTAGAGAAAGCTCAACGGGAAGTCATGTTTCTTGGCATTTCACTAAGCTATTGTTTTATTATCAATGCCAGATGTTATGAAAGCAATTTGCAATAAATATGCAAACACAATAATAGTACAACTAAGGGGCTGATTACATGAGCCCGGTAGCCGGGATTCAGCAATGCGTTAAATGATTTTGACAAATGGAACGATTTAATACTTATCATCAGATAAATCTTCTTAAGCAATTTCACAATATTCTGATTTAATAACTACGCATAACATTTACAATTAAAACAACCAATTTGCCCTAATTTGAGAATTGCCATCAGAATGACATGTGGCGCTTTGCAAGCAGTTGTAATTTTAAACCCTCAAGTTTGGGCCTCTTTCAATCCCTAGAAATTATCGGGCTAACTCGCTATCTCGGCCAGCTCGCCTCCATATAATTAGACCTTCGTGCCTTAATCATAATTAATTACATTTGGTTTACACAATGCGAAATACAGAAAATTCATGACTGAGGAGATCAAACTAGCTTTATGTGTCATATGCTCTGTGCAACAAAAAAGCTTCTTGTGTACTCAAAATAATCTATTCAAAACTGGTCTTGTCAAATTTGGAAAAATGTATCGTGTAATGATCATCTGCAAAATTATCAATGGAGCTTTGAATATTACTAAACTATTTTGTCAGAGCTCACAAGCATGTCTGTGAAAAATTTTTCAGAAAAATTATTACGACAGAAACAGACCTTAAAAATTTCTGCCAAGCCATTTGAGTTCAATTTAATTAGGCCGTAGAGACCAGCTTTCATATGAGAAGTTTAGTTAGAAATGGTGATCATATGGAATACTTGTAGGGAGAAAATAGCTCATGTTCCATGCTATTAAGGACCTTTATGCTTAATTGCTCTTTTGAAGAAGGAGATTCCGAACTATTCATTTTTTTAAAGGGATGCCCATGATTATTATCATATTATTAAAATTTGTGGCATCGCTTTTTTCTCCCTCAAAAACTTCAATGTCCAAATTTTTTTGTTTTTATAAACCATACAACATTTCTATCATAAGACAGTGATGGCAACTGAAAAGTCAAATAAAACTAGATTTTCGTATCTTAGTAACGTACCCAATGACAAAACAATTTATGATTTAAGTGCTAATTATGGTCGTTGCGTTTTTGTACCTTATTTCCACAGACATTTTTGTTCGATGAAGGGAAACAGGTTTGGTTTTACAAACGATTTATCAATTTTGCGCATTGAAGGTCATTTTTGTTTGGCTTTGTCGTCGAAATTATCCCTATATTTCGGCCATCGTAACATGTAGCAATCGTAATTGTCATATTTTTCAGGTTAGCAAACGATTAGCTCGATTAGCTCGAAGCTTATATCTCGCCAAGAAGAAAGACAAATTATCGAGGGCATACTTTTGGCAAAAAGTTATAAGATATTCTAGGATGCATTGATGAAGTTATAACTCCAATTAAAAAATTATACTTGTAGAACATAGATTAAAAAGTTAAAAACTTCCCCTGAGTGAGATTTTGTTTGTTTAAAATGCAAAAATCAAAGCAGTTTGGAAGATATCAAAGCCATATTGTGAGAGCGATAGAAAAAATAAATTATAAATGATGAAATCGTAGGTACAATAACGAGCAAAAGAGCTTTGAAAAGACTGCATTTGCTCTCATACCCTTACTTCTTAGTTGTAATTCTTTATAAAAAATTGACCCGAGAGTAAATTGTCTGGCTGGTTGTTTGGGACCTAATGTCATAAAAAAAACTAAACCACCATTCTTTGTTTGATGGTGTAAGTAGCAATAATAATAATAACTGTGACAACAATTATATTGCTAATGGTACTAATGATAAAAATGTAATGAAGAATAAAGAATTAGACAATGGTATATGTATTATTGGGCATAAAAGTGTAGCTAGCATGAAAGCTCCAACGATAAGGCATCAAACTTTAGTGGGACCTTTTTTGTCGTATTTTAATGTAATGCATTGCCTTTATTAAAAAATATATATAGTGGAAAAGGATTGATTTCACAATTCACAAGCCGGCATGAACAGTGAATACGAAAAGCTTGTAACAAAATAGCTTAGGTAGCAGCAAGTGTAGAAGTACACTGAAATATCAATAAATTTGCTTTCGAATTTATTTTTAAATTTTTGTGAAAACATTTTCCATTTAATAATTTTGTCGTTTATTCAACACCAATATAATATCTCATTAAGAAGAATTTTTTATTTTATGATTATTTGAAAATATGGAAAGGATAAAAACACATGTTTGAAATCTTAATAATTTTTTGTTAAAGCTGATGGAAATGTATTGCTTGGAAAGTCAATTTACATTCCTGGAGAGGACCTTTTGGGCTCCATTCCAAATGGAATAGTGTTCTTTGAAGAAATCCCTGTTGAATGCTTTGGAAAGGCTGAAAACCCTACTTTATTAAAGAGTGATTCATTTTATCAAAACACGGAAAATTTTTTTAAAAGTATTGCAACAGAACTGAATTTAAACGCTCAAGTCACAAAAATTTTCTCTTTGGGTACGACATTGGATGCAACAACAAAAAGCATTGGTGGTGATCATCATGCAGTCAATGGTGCATCTTTGAAAATTGCGACAAAGCACTTTGACACACAACTTTCTTCAGTCTGTCTCTACGAAACGAATATTCAAACTAGGGTGTTAGATGATTTCTCAGAACTTCCAAGTAACATTGGTCAACCATGGTTTAAAGAATCGTGGAGAGAATATGACATTTTTCTTCAAACGCATGGTTCGCACGTGATTACATCCGTTACGTATGGATCAAGCCTTGATCAATACGCATTTGGAGAAGAGTCTTCCTCTTACACACAAAAACAGCTTACAACAAAAGCGTGTGCAGCCTTACCGGGAGAAATAATCGGTGCAGCTGGGTTATCGCTATCAGCTTGTGCTGGATTAAACAAAGAAGATAAGGACAATATCAGTAATGCAAAGATGACAACATCCATCACTGTCCGAGGAGGAACAATTGAGACAAGAAATAGACTATTTGCAGATACATCAGCCGATGTAATTTTAAAATTTCTATCAGAAGGCAATACAAGCCCTGCTCCAATTAGATATAAGGTTACACCTATTTGGCAAGTTCTCATGGGTCAAAAGCAAGTAAAACAATCAAATCCCAAAAGAAGTGTTCAAGCAGCAAACTTACAATATTATTTTGAAGGCTTCCTCAATTTTGATTGTCCTTATATCCCTTCAGATGATGAAGGACCAATTTTTCAACTTTTCAACTACGCGGAACATTCAACTCCAGAGCGACCGGCCTTTCAATGTACTATCGCTCCTGAAGGTTGCCATCATGACAAAGACTGCCACAGGGCACTCGGGACCGGGTGCTTGTGCTACGGAAAATCAAGCGTCCGTCATCATTCAATAGAAAAAGATGGAGATATGAGACTAGTCGCACAACGTCAAATAACGAAAGATTGGGACGGAGATAAAACATGCTCAAGAAAGAATGTTGTTGGTAAATGTTTCTGCAAACATGAGCGTTTGAAAAGAAAAGTTATTTTTGGCTAATATTTCATTTTACAAACAGACAGCAAATTTATATTTACCAAATATATCAAACCCATCACAGTATTTTCTGTAAAAAGATAAATAAAAATATTTGACAAACCGAAAGATTTCTCGTTACGTAAACATTTACTTCAGAAAAAAAACAATTAGATACTCAATGTTATAGAGTATATGTCCTGCGTAATTATTATTATTGAAACTATACTTTGAATTGCTCCAAAAATGGGTTTTTCAATTTCTTTATCAATAAATTATAACGCTATAAGCATTTTCTTATATTAATAATTACTGGATATTTAGGGATTAAAAGTATAATATTAATATAATCATCTAAAAAAGTGCGTGTTTGTTGCAATCTCTTGTTGTGCAACTTTGAAGTGATTGCTGTTTTGTCTTTATGTGTGGTGATAGATGATTTGAGTTTTTGTGTAGGTTTGTGGGTGACGTTTATATTGAATGGTCAAAGAAGTCTGGCAGTCATTTCTGATGTTCTGTTTATGTATGGTATTAATGGTAATGTGATGATTTTTACTGTTTCGTCAATTTTCTCGTTACTTTTATCTGTTTGTGTTTTGTTTTGTAATTTGTTTATAGTTTTGTTTATGAGGTTTCTAGGGCAATTGTTTTTAATATAAGTCGAGTACAAGTAGTTGTGCTCTGTTTTCTTGGCTTCTAAGGTGTTGCAGTGATTGTTGATTCTGTTGGAAAGTGTTCGTATGCAGTTATTTTCTGTTATATTGTGTGATTGCTGTTGAGATCGAGTATTTGACCTGTGTGAGTAGTTTTGCAGGGTACTTGTGTGTTTAGTGTGCCATCATCTGTTCTGGTCAGTGGGATATGGAGAAAAGTAAGCTGTTTGTCGTGTGATTTGTCTTTAGTGAAAGTTATGTTCTTTATGGTATTGTTTATAGTTTGTAAGATTTGTTCAGTTTTGTCTTTCTTGACTATGGTAAAGATGTCGATTACATATCTTGTCGTCGACATATCTGTTGTCTGTATTGTTGGTGACGCGGTTTATTTCGAGGTTTTGCATGATAGCTTTATCGAGGAAGGAGGAAAGTGGCGATCCCATTGATGTGCCTGAAATTTGTCTGTAGTATGAGTTTTGGAAGGAGAATTCAGTGGAGGGAAAAAAGTTGAGTAAATCTAAGATGTCAATTTTGTCTAGTTGTGTTGTAGTTTGCCAAGATTTGTCGTTTTTGAGTAGTTCGCTTTTAATTTGTTTGGCTATGTATAATGGTATGGATGTAAAGAGTGGGGTCACGTCGTAAGATATCATAATTTCGTCTGATCGTAGTTTAATGATGTCAGTCCAGTTCAATGTCGGTAATCCAAGCATTATTGCTGAAAAAATATAAAAGTTTCTCTGGATTTTTTTAAATAATGTTATTGAGCTTCAACTCGGTGTTTCCAGCATTCTTCAGAATAAGTAAATTATTGCTATTTACGTTTGTTTTTAGCTTGTAGACGTATCGAATTGGATTAATGGATGGATTGAGATGATTGGATGAGGAAGGGCGGAATTTTACAATTGCTAATGTTGGATGTTAGTTAGAACTTATGAAACTCGATGAAGCTGATAAATTGTTTGTGGAATTTTTTTATTGTCTTGTGAAATTTGCGAAAGTTTGGGTGGCTAATAGAGCCAAATTATTGGGTGAAAATTCCCGTCAAAACGCAAGAAATCGCATTTCCAAGCTTCTAAAGTTCAAAATATTCCGGGGTAGCATGAGCTATCATAGCGCGTCGTTTTGACGGGAGTGACGCTTGCCATATAATAAATATGAACAATGGCCTCTCAATGATTCATATAGCTACGCCATTGGTCTAATATAGAATATGTTAAGATATGTTTTTAGTTAAAGATAAGTAATTTTGTAGCTACGTGCCGTTTGAGCGCAATTCAGCTTGTCTACATGGCTGGAAAATTTGAACAAATTAAAACCTTTTAATATCTATCACAAGACATTTAATGATAATTTTAATCTTATGCTTCAGGTTATGCTCTTAAAACATTAGTATGAATTGATCCGTATAGACTTTGCTTAATTAATTATTGTAATGAACTTTATTTGTAGTTTGGTAGTGCAAGGCGATCTTTCATTTTATTTAGAATGGAGTTCTTTCCTAAAAGAACTAAAACGTGAAGGCCTCGAAGTAAGTGAATTTTCCAGATTTTTCGAGAATTTTCCAAACTTACCATTTTGAATTACGTATTCTTATCTGGCATTAAAAGAATGAACTCGATTGCGAGTTTGCATGGATACCGCAAACTCGTTTGGCGTACCGATTTTTACTCGAGAAAGGAAACTGCTCAAGATGAATAAGGCATTAGCTTCAATCACTACCGACTGTTTACAAAGGCAACATATTCACCCAACACACGGTAGCAAAATCTGTATTGATCCTGTTAAAAAAAGAGAAGTCAACAAGCATATATTGGCAGAAAGGAAACTTGAAATCAATGAGAATGTTACATTGCACGTTTGTTAGCATTTGCTGTCGTTAATATATGCAGTTAACTCACAATAGTTTCTACCATTCCCATCCTCTGTGTTCGTAGGATTCGCACGATGCTAAAAATATCGACGGCGTTTTCCATCCGTATTCTTTCCATAGCGATGTATATCGTGCAGAAACAACCAGTTCTCCCAATCCCATTGCTATACAAGTATACATAATAATATTACGCACATGAAAAATTTGCGCTGGTATGTTCGAGACATTTTACTGCAACTTTCAACGATAAACATTAAACAAGATAGTTGTGTGTTTTGTCAATCTCTTTTTAAAGAAAAATAGATGCCATTGGTGATCTCATCAAATAAGTTGTTCTTAACACACTTCCGGAACACTTGTTGCCTGGATGCTCACATTTGTGCACATTATTATTATTAAACATAATCGTGCATGTGAATTAAATTTGCTGTGTTCAATATAAAATGAAAAAAGTGCCATTATGAATAAACATGTGTTTTAAGACTGCAACAAAATATCGCACGTCCGAAGGACGAGCTGTTGTGCTCAACGTGCTCGTTAATTAAATTAAAAAAACTATATCTCGGAACTCTTATTCGCTTCCTATTTCCAATATTTGCCCTTTTATCAACACGTCCCACGTATGAAGCAACAAAGATCTGGGCACTACGTAAAAACAGGGAAATTAATTTTGCTAAATTAATTGCACTGCTAAATTTGTCCTATTGGTTTGAATCGAGTATTTTTGAAGCTCGCGAAGGCATGTTTTCTGTAAATGCACGTTTTATAATAGGATTACTTGCTAATGATAACATACTATGACATTATGAAATATTTTGAGAAACGCCGTCTACCTGCTGATTTCTTCAAGACTATCGCTTCAGAAACTATTTTGCGTTGCGCAACGTTTACAAAATTTTCAACAGAAAAAGTATTTACTCTTGTGTCTTAATTTTTTTGCTTAACCCCTACCCCCCGTCTAACAATATTCCACATCACATAGCACTGCCATTTTTAGAGAAAAGAAGCTTGTTTATTTTCACTGCTTTTCAGCCAATCATATTTCTATAGTGAAATACATATTTTTGAAGGGCAAACATGAATTAACCTGATTCATAGTCGAGAAGTATTTTAAAGTGTGCTAATAGTCAGATAATGACGACTTCATTATTTCTTGTAGAATTAAGTGTCATTTGCCACGCGTCGAAAATATGCCACTATTGGAAGGTAATGTCCATTAATAAAAAAATATTCTTACTTGCAATGCACTAAAGTCATCCCAATTCCTGTTTGCTTTTCAATCTTCGCAACTTCTTCGATGAAATTTAGCAATGCTCCACTATCTGGTAAGCTGCATTTAAACCATGACGTAAAATGCATATGGTAAATCTTGCGAACTTCTCCGCTCTAAAACACGACATAGTGCCTTAATTTACAAATATTATAAAACATAACCATAAATTAACAGTATAGTAAAGTATAAGTAATCTTACTGAGAGCAATTAATTTACACCCCGTAAGTTAGGCTTGCTCTTTTTTGAAGTGAACCAATGGAGAGTTCAATTGAACTGCTATTAGCTAATATAATATGTAATCATACATCGCAGCTTAGCAGCTCTCAACCTGACCTATGATGAATGTTGTCAGAATATTTTCTTGCTGAGTTTGCCGATATAGTTTCATATTTTTTAAAATTATTTCCTAAATAATGAAACAGAGACTTTGTCGTGGTGACAAACTTAAAGATGGATTTCAAAATAGCAAATACCATGGAGAATGGTGATGATAACAATGTAATAGTTCTTAAAAGAACTGTTTTAACCAGAACACTAACCCAACAATTCAAAGGAACCGTTATTTACAGCTAGAAAGAGACACTATGCATTTCGGCTGACTATTCGTCAGGTGTCAACGTCTGCTAAATGAGAACCTCCAAACCATGCTATATTTACTATATTTATAACGAAGGTTATATTTGAAGGTTCTCCTTTAGCAGACGTTGATTTCTGAAATACTTTATTATAATGTTCACTATGTATTTGCTATTTTGAAATCCATCTTTAAAATTATTTCTGTTTGTCACAAAAGTTTTCTTATAGGTGAAGAATGAAAGATTCGAAAATAGCTTTATTAGCTCTGCATGCCAGCAAATATTCAAATAACGACTTATAATTATGATTTAATATTTTTTTATTTATCTTAAATATAAAATTATTAAATTTTGAACAAGTAATTTTAATTAAAAATAATGTATGTAAATATAACTCTCTTATAACTTCCTGAAAATTCTGAAAAATCTGGTTTATTGTAAAAGTAATAATAATAATAATGAAATAAGCAAGAATGGTTTTATAAATATATTGAAAAAGAAGTTACTGATGTTATGTGTGTGATATAATGATAAATTCATTATGTTAAAATTGGAAGATGTTTCATTGACAAGTGTATCATAATTTATTCTTGTGTAAAGCTCGCCGCACAATATAGCTATCAGCTGAGCCGAGCATAATTGGCGTAAGCAAGTTAATTCCTCCACTGTGCTGTAGTGTTTTTGAGCGCTTTTCAGTACACGTGTCATTTTTGCCAGGTATTAAAATGTTGATTAATATCAGTGACGATCACTGTTTCCCCCAAGTGAGCGCGCGTATAAAGGTATAGCGTCAGACATGCTATTCAAATGCATGCGCTGTAAAATGAGCTTTTTGCAAAAAAATGGCTGCTATGAATGGAATTTTTGTTTTATCGTCAGATGAAGAAGACAAAGAAATGATTCTTTTGGTTCTTTTCTTATGTCAGCAGCTAAAAGAACTTTAATTTCATGACTGCCTACGTAGAGAGCTTGCGCAAATATTGCTTTTGAATTGAATACTGAAGATATATTTAAGCAGACTTGTGGATTATATTAAGCTGCTTTCATTAGCAACTGTTTTACCTTTTATTGTAAGGCAAGATGTTTGTAGCCAATGCGAAGACTTTTCTTCGCATTACATTTTTTATCTACAAGTCTGTATGGATGAAAATTTAAATAATGAAATGCAAACCACAATGAAATTGTGAAGACTCAATTTCTACTTTTCATTTTTTAATCTAGGACAGGTCTTTAGAAGTTGGTCTTTGAATACCGCCTCGGTGAGAGGACAAACTCAGAAACAGTTCAGGAAACATATCAAGTGCTATACACGATGATGAAAACAGAAAATGAGATAATTTAAAGTGCTTAAAGATACGTTTTTGGACCCAAGATAAACCATTTATAAAGTAAATGGTTTGAACCCGGGAGTATCGTTATATGTTTGTAAATGATGATCGTCCAGGTTAATAAAGTCCTGAGAAGGACTGTTTTTGTTGTTGTTGACTGACGTTTCGACAACCTTAGCGGTAGTCATCTTCAGAGTCAAATGAGGAGTAAACGTCAGGTTAGCCGTATTTGTTATCTGGTTCTTACGATGTGTATACTATTGTCTTTTGATGTGAAATCACTGTTCACCAGTATTCCACTTAATCTGGCACTTACTTGTACAAAAACCCTCATTACAAACACCACGGACGTACTGCCATTACCGACAGAAGACATTATGGAGTTACTGGAGCTCTGCCTCACCTCGACTTACTTCCAATACAAAGGAGCACACTACAAACAATTACATGGGACGGCAATGGGCTCGCCCGTTTCTGTAGTAGTTGCTGAAATTGTAATGCAATCTATAGAGGAACGGGCGCTCACGACTTACAAACATGCACTACCTTTTTGGTTTCGCTACGTAGATGACACAATCACAGCACTACATGCAGACGACATTAATGATTTTCATACTCACATTAACAAACAGAACAGCCACATACAATTTACCAAAGATGTCGAAGAAAACGGAACTCTTCCTTTTCTCGACTGTTTGGTAAAACATGACAATCAAGAACTAGGAACAACAGTTTATCGCCAGCCAACACATACTGACCGACTACTAGACCAATCATCTTACAACTCTACATCACACAAAGCCACCACAATCAGAACATTAACAAGACGTGCACAAATCATATGTGATTCACCGGACGCTCTACAAAACGAAAACAACTATCTCAAACGTGTTTTTGACAAAAATAACTATAACTCTGAGTTTATCAAACGCAACACTTACAAACACAGCGAACCCAACGAAACGAACAACTCAGTGACAACAGCAACGATACATTACATCAAAGGTACGTCTGAGACTATCTCGCGTATCTTACGACCATACAACATACGTGTCGCACATAAACCAATCACAACGTTACGACAAGTACTAACGAACATAAAGGACAAAGAACAACCCAACGAACGACAAGGTGCAGTTTACAAAATAAACTGCTCCGACTGCCACGCCTCCTATATCGGAGAAACTGGCAGGAGCTTAAACATAAGACTTACTGAGCACAAACGAGCTACTAAGAAACAAGACAAAACTAATCACATTGCCGAACATCACCGAATCACAAAGCACAACATTGACTGGGACTCGGCAAAATGCATCACTTACAGTACTGACTATAGACAACGGCTTACATTAGAAATGGTATACCAACTTGGAACAAACCCCCCTGAACAGATCACAGCAATTACCGGCACCTTACAAACGACTTATTCACAATACAAACAAACGATCAACTAAAAACACTACACTTCAAACTAATTCACAATGACAATACACAATTGACACCCACACATTACAACTAAATACGTCACACCTAAATCACACATCACAACTAAAAATAAAATATTTCACTTCACACTAATCTACAATGACAGTAAACATTTCCTGTACACACAATACAATGACGTAAGAACCAGATAACAAATACGGCTAACCTGACGTTTACTCCTCATTTGACTCTGAAGATGACTACCGCTAAGGTTGTCGAAACGTCAGTCAACAACAACAAAAACAGTCCTTCTCAGGACTTTATTAACCTGGACGATCATCATTTACAAACATATAAACCATTTATATTACATAATTTAGCATAGATTTATCTACCACCTAAAATAGTGTTGATGTTATCATACGAACTCACATGACATGACGTGGTGTAGAATGGATATGAGAGCATATTGTTCGGGCGTCTGCATGCGTAATATACCATGTGTTTAAACGTATACATATCGCATTAATGTAAGAGCATTTGTAATTATTAATTATATAAAGTCATCATTAAGGAGAAATGATAATCTTGGCTATTCGGCCATTTGCCTACCAACAAACTTTGCTCACTCTGAATTTTCGAGCAACTCTCTGACGTGAATATAAGATAATTCATGGTCAATGTTTTCTAAATCATAGATTCTGGCTGCCATTAGTTAATAAGTTACTGATTTTATTACTTGTTAAGGCACATAATAACGGAATGGGAAGAACGCAATCAACAAAAGCTCTTTCTATTAGCTAACACCTTATTTCGTGAGGTAGGCACTTCTGGAAACAAATGACCAGCTGCATTTGAAACAAATGTTTTGACTTCATGTTGAGCTAAATTACACGTTTTTACACGTTAGCTATAATTGTGCCACTTGCAATCGCCTCTTCAACATCTTCATTATCCCATATTTATTTTAGTAGTAAGGTTTACGCTTGATTCCCGTGCAAAAAAATAATTATAATGCTGAAACTCGTTTTATTCGTATTTTTGCTACATTGAAAAAAACAGAATTGTTAGACAGTTTCTTCATGTATTTCAAACAAATGGACCTATCCATGATGCCTTTTGGCATGCGCAATAGACGGCAAAACATATTGGCGAGCAACAACCTTTGTTCTTTAACTATCATTAGTTGATTCAACTAGAATTTAATCATGTTGATGCTGGTGCAGCGGTATGAGTTTGGGGCGCTGGTTTGTTTATGGATTCATCCCATAAGACAGCGATGGCATATAATTAACTGGACCTCCCATAACCACGAAAAATGCCAAACGTAGCAAAAGAAACTCAACACAACATAGTTGGTAATGATGCATTTCCGTTAACAATGCAAACTATGAAAACAAATCGTCATCAACATTTTCAAAAGACCAAACAGATTTTTACCCATAGGCCATCACGAGCTTGTCGCGTGGTAGAAAATGTTACTTGGATCTTTGTACATCGCCGAAGAGTTATTTCGCCAACCATAAAACTTTCAACAGATAAAGGGATTTTTATTATTTTAGCGACTTGTTGTGTACACAACTTTATGGTAGAGAAAAACAAAAGCCAGATATGTATAGAAGTTGCTGATTTAGAGAACATTAACAACACAGTTGCAAGAGGTATGCAGTGGCGTGGTGGCAGGGGGGCCAGGGGGGCCAGGGCCCCCCTAGCTGTTGATTTTGGGGGGCGCTGAATTGAATACAGGAAACTTTTTGGAAACGCTTAAATTATTGTCAGAGTACGATCAATCAATCAATGAGCATCTTGAGAAAGTTCGTGATCACCAAGTGAAGCAATCAACAAAGGATGGTGGTAAAACTGATGGAAAAGGAATCAAAGAACGTGGCTCATGGCTAACGTTTTTGAGCAACGATATTCAAAATAAGTTAATCAATATCATTGGTAAAGAAATATCTTCTGTAATTGTACAAAAAATACGCAACTGCAAAGCATGGGCATTGATTGCTGATACAACACCCGATATAACTCATACAGAGCAATTGAGTATATGCGTAAGGCTTGTTAATGAAACTGGCGAGTGTTCTGAACACGTTTTGTCATGCCAAAAAGCAATTGGAAGAACAGCACATGATCTATACACTGCTATTACAACAATATTACAATTGCATGGAGTTTCATTTGAAAAGCTTGTTGCCCAAACGTATGACGGAGCATCCAGTATGAGCGGATGTTATAATGGTTTGCAGGCAATTGTAAAAGAGAAAATCGGAAACCACATCATATTTGTTCACTGCTATGTGCATACGCTAAATCTTGTCTTGTCCGATTAAACTTGTGTTGCTATTCATGTCATTACTCTTTTTGACTCTCTCGAAAAACGGCACGTTCTCTTTAATAATTCTCATAAAGTACACGAATTGTTTCAATTGGTTCAAAAGAATGAAAACCTCAAATTTTTTTCAATTAAACGTCTTAATACAGTTCGATGGAATGCAAGAGAATTTTGTCTAAACGTACTTCTTTTGAGTTTCGAGTGCATCATGCAAGTGCTCCAAAAAGTGGCTGAGGAAAGATCGTTCACTGAAAGTCAGCGAGCAACAGCAAATGAATTGCAAGCAGCTTTTCAGACAAAGTAATTTGTTGCGACTGCCTGTCTTTTCCAAGAAATTTTTGGAATTACTGGACATTTAAGTCGATATCTACTGAGCGTAAATGCTGACTTTGGAAAAGCAGTGGATATGGTTGATAGCTCAATTTCTAGAATTCAAATCATACGTAACAAACCAGAAAAATCATTGAAATGTCCGATTCTTTTGCGTTAGATATCGAATGGAGGTCTACACGACCTCGTCGTCGACGACCGATGGACGGAGAACAAGCCTGAGATGATTTGGCAGATTCACCAAAAGCACAATGGAGGCGAGACACATTTTATAAAGTGCTAGACTCCATTCAATCTTCAATGAAGAATCGTTTTGAAAAGAATCGACCACTAAGGAAATCATTTGATTTATTCGTACCTAATCAATTTGACGAGCTCTCGAGCAAGTACAAGACACACCTCACGATCTTCAATCTGCAGTGAAAGCCTTTTGTGATGTGTATAAGATAGATTCCCAAAGATGCGCTACTGATCTGTTAAGCTTTGCAGAAACATTTAAGAAATTTCACTGTTCTCAGTTTACAACTCAAAGTGACCATAATCATAATGAGCGGAACTTTGAAACTATGGATGATGGTAATGGTGATGATGATGATGAAAATCTTTCTGATACTGACATAAGCTTTCGAATAATGCGTCAATTACCGAGAAGGCTAAAACTCCGTCATTCTTAGATGTCTTGAAGCTGCTTTGTTTTCCAAAGTATCATTTAGTCAACGCATACCCAACATTTTGCAAAGTTTATTCACTTGCAGTGGCAATACTCATTAGCTCAGCAACTGCTGAACGTTCTTTTTCTTCGCTGAAGAGAGTAAAAACGAGGATTCGATCTACGATGGTACAGGAACGCCTGGAATCATTGCTTTTAATGGAAGTTGAAAGGGAAACTCTCCTTTCTATCAACAAAGATAGAATCATAACTTTACTTGGGAAAACCTCCCCAACGCTTGCAAAGGCATTAATATAAATATATTTTTCTATAAAAAACAAATAACGTAACAGACATATAATTGCTTGATGATACTTAGTTTTTAAGTTACTTTCTTTTTTATGAAGATTCATGTTTGTGTTTTATAAAATAAAAATAACTAAAATACTTGAAAATAGCTATAAGAAAAGGTGAAAGGGCGCAAAATTTGTGTTGGCCACCGCAGTAAAACTATGCCACCACGCCACTGGAGGTATGTGAGAAGTGATTCGGTATCAAGCAGAATGCAATAATTTTCAGTTCATATAACAATTAGAAATACTAAATTGCAATAACAATATATAAATGAAAAAATTCAAAATAATTTTTTGTTTGTATATTTCAACATACTAAAATTTAAGACAGACAGCCTGGTATCAAAATAAAGGGCCAAAAACTCCTACAACTTTAACAATCAATTTATCCTCTTGATGAGATTTCTCCTGGCAGAGCCATTGCATGGCAGCTGCTTTTTTTGTCAATAGTTGTTCCGAAAAGCCTTCAATTTTGCTTTCGCCGAATAAGATAGAGATATATAACACATATAAATGTGGTATTAAAAATTTTTCAAACATGTTGTCTTTTGAGCTGCTCTTCTAAAATCTTATGTATAATAGAAAAATATGAATTCGTGAAAACACCAGTATACAATTTTTGACCAAGCTTACTCGTTTAAGAAATTCTTCTGTCATCGTGAATAAATCAATGTCATCTTGAATAAATCAATATCATCTTGAATAAGTCATGAAGATAAGTAAAACAGTTAATGCACCAACGTTTCATTAAATGAAAGTTAAAACTTGGCAAAAAGCATTCCTCAGCGAATTTCAATCTAATTGACTTATACTCAAAAATTTCTTTACAAAGATGTATAATGATTTTGTACATATTTATTACATTTCTAATGTTGTCAGTTTATTTCTATATCTCTATGCATGATAATAATATGGGGTTTTTTGATAAAATCAAGGGAAGACTGTGAGCACACCAGTTTTCTAGATCTGGGATTGTTTTGATGACCATGGTCAAGGTAAATTAAATCCACAGATAAAGATTTACAATTTCAGTCTTTTGTCTATACTACCTTTGGAAAATGCATTAAACTTCGGATGCCATGCATCTCTCAGAGATATAGTCTAACAAAAATGCAAAGAGCACTGAATATACCCTGATTCACTTTATCGCCATTTTGTTAATATTCACTGATTTTATTATGGTTATTGCGTTGGGAGGTCTCTTTACAAAAAAATGGTTCTGAAGCAATTTTATAACTCATACAAAATTGATGAAACATGGGTAAATAGTTTTCTGAGCATGGATAAAGTTAAACACAAATAATGAACGTATAATCATGTAAAATAACATGTAGTGTCCAAATAAGCAGTTCCCTAAATCCGGTACGTTTTCCATTGTTTTGAAACAATCTTATCTTTATTCTTCTTTTGGAAGCTTTCAGTAGAAATTTCAGAGATGTAAATGATTTTTCTTAAAAAAACTTTTAAAGTACTTTGGAAATGGAAATACCTGATTGTCTGTAAGTAAATTTAATTCAAACAACCTGGTCTGTTTAAAGGATGGTATCTAAAGCGCACAACACCTGATTTGGCTGCAAATTTCATCATGCGCGACAAGCTTCATTTTATAAATCAATCTACAGATATAGCCACTTAAAAGAGCCACCTTCAAAACCGTGTTAATTATTATGAGATTAAATTAACTTTTTATTGTACATCTACTCACATACTTCCCTTTATATCCGATCCTCACTTTGAAAGGGAGAGTTTTGAAAAGTAGTACACGAAGTACATACCTTCATGGAAAACGCACAATTAAATGAATAGAATATTGAGTAATGGCTGTCAGGCAACTTTTAAAAATACCTTTGTATTTGTGCATTTAAGACTTCTTTGAACATATGAATCGAAAATTTCCTTGGAATGCACCTCTATCATCAACAGTCCAAATACAATAAATTCTTCGTCATGTACAGGCCAATATTTCAGAAACTGAAAAATACATATAAAAGTTAACTTTTAGACAAAGTGTAAGTGTCATTAAACCATTCAATAATAGTAAGAGATATTTTTAAAATTGCGATCAATACTTATTTTGATTTGAGGTCATGAACAAAATGCTGTCTGACCTCTTCATTTTCACTTTCATGCAGCAACGAGACCATAACGTAGCATTCGTATTCCCATATCATTCGCCAAAAATCTTCTGCAGACTCCTTCAATGGTGATTGTGTAGCTATAAATTTTTCGTTATTTCTGTAACCCTAAAATTAGGACAAAACATTCAAGTATTAATCACCAGACTGAGATTGTCAAAGAACAGTGTGCTTTGTACACTAAAAGAATGAGAGGAAATCCCGACATGTGTCAGAAATACAATAGCATTACGCTCCATAAGCACGTACTCTGGCAAAACGTCATTCCGTAAGACGAAATGCATTTGCTTTGTTAATTGTGCATAGCTTGCAGTTGCTACACTGCATAAATGCACTGTTTTTCTTTATTTATCTGATTGCATCACAGTATAAGTTTTAATTGTTTGTACTGAGATATGATGTTTGATGTCAACGTGAAAGATGTAAAAAAAATAAAATTTAGAGTTTAAGTAAGAGAACTGACGTCAATAAATGAAGCATTGATGTAGTCTGATCCTTTTCGTTTGGATAAGGCCAGAGCTTTACCCTATCACTATCATCTATAAAATACATCAAGTTTTTATCAATAATTATATCTTGCAGCACAGCTATAAATATGTAATCACTTACAAGGTAAAATCAAATTATATCGATTCTTTTCGCATTTTCTGGCATCAAACCATTGACACAGGTCTCCTTTTCATTAACAGATAACTCATTCAAGTTCTGTAAAGATGCATGAAAGTTTTAGCACAGAAAATAATTCAAATGCTGCAACTAATAGAATATTATTCTTGCTATTTTTAGTCATTAAAAATAGTTACCGAAAACAGAGCTTTGACAAATGCAGCTTTCGAATTTAAATATTATGGTAAAACTGCAGAATCTGCATTTTATGTCGTATCCTACATCAGGTACTACGTAATAGCCTAGTCAAAATGGCATCAATCAATTCAGAAAGATGTAAAATTTTTAATTGAGTTTTTATTTTTAAGGTGAAATTCTAAAAAACTGCGGGTTTTTATGGTGGAAACAAGTAAATTTAAAGATTTTATGTTACATCCTAGTTATCTATTGTGTTAAAAAGTAGTCACCAATAACCAGCAACGAAAGTCATGATAGAAAATCATTCTTTCCAAGACAAATCTAGTAGCAGTCAATATAGAGTGTAAAATATACCGCGTTAAATTTCGATGGCCTACAAAGGCTTACAAATCCTTAAGAGTACGCGTCAAGAAAACAAGAAAATGAAGCCATGCGCCAGACAGTGAGCTCTAACACTGTTAGGTTATTGAAGGATCAAGTAGTCAGTTCATCCTGGTGCAAAATCACATATTATTTACAAGCGAGCAATTAATTTAGCCCAATAAGTTGTAGGCACATGTCTAACAGACCGTGAAATAATCAAGAAATCAATCTATAAAGGAGATGCATCAAAAGTTGGCAGATGTTCTCGCTCTTTGTTAAGTGAGTCGAAATAAAAAAATATTACTATGCTTCATGGTTTTGGGATGAGTGTTGAATATAAAAGGTTTCTTAGAGTAGAGGCGCAAATAGAAAAACCAGTCATTAATCACATTAGAGAGAAAAACAGGGTGTATCTACCACTAGACTTTTTACAAAATAAATGTTTTTTTAAATAATTAATAATGTTGATTCAAGCAAGCACAAAGCATCAACACTACAATGGTTGGTCGAAAATCACAAGACATTCATCAGATTGGACATTGGCAGCACATCATTTGCAAATGGGCTGACGTGAAATAAATCATATAAAAATGAGTCCAGGTATAAAGTAAACCTGCCTTATAATTCTTTGTAAAATGAGGTATAAATTCAATATGACTTTTTCTTGTTCTGCATTTAGCCCATTAGGTGAACTTAACATTGGTATGGCACAATTGATAGCTATTGGTGCGTTTATTTACGATGGTGGCATACATCTGTACTATATTGAATGTCAGTTGTATGCGTAAAGTATTATGTAAATGTCAGTTGTATTTACAGTTAAGCATCGTTCTGTGCATTAGGGCATATCACACCTTCATATCACACCTGTTGATAGGTCGATACCAGTCAGCGACATGTTTGCTAGGTTATTAAGCCTTGTCGCCGTATTCTTTCAACACCGCCAGCGAATTCGCTGGAGCACATGGAATCGCTGTGTCGCAGAGACAAAATTGAAAATGGTGTCTTTCGAAGAAGCTCTAATAAATAGTTTTTAGTCTCTTCTTCCTCTAATTAGTTTAAAATTTTAGCTAATGAAGCAGTGCGCGCAGTGCTTCGTTAGTCGCCATGTTTGAGACAAACCACCAAAACCATATTTTAGGTCATAAAGGCCATCGCTTCACTTGTATCATCAGTGACAGTGTGTCTTTACATCACTATGTCGTTATGTCGCTACGTTTTAACGACTTAGCCACAGCGATAGTTTCTCTCGGCCTTTAAAGTCTCTATGTAAGTCTCTCGAAGTTTAATAGGGATCATAAGGCTCGTGACAAGGTCTTCCGTTTTGCTCCGGAACTTGCAAAGTTAATTTGAGAAGCTTAAAATGTGGCTAGAATTTATCAAAGGAAACGATCCTCCATCACTGCCTTTCTAAAGCTGTTTTAAAAAGCAAAGATAAACAACATCCAGCAACTAAAGTCGACGATTATACCAATTTCTTATCTATTGGTAAGGAGAAAGTTGTCACAACAGATAAGGTTAAGCAAGATCTGTTCAACTGCGCAAAGCAATATCGGAAAAAAGATGGAAGAGTTTGTACATGTGCGCGAAAAGTCAAAAAAAGTAATCCTTTCATTTACCATGAAAAGCACAAAATGATGACATAAACTACAAGAGGAAAGGTGATGATAAGCAGAAGTCGTCCTGAACTAAAAAATATTGAGAAAGGCATTGACAAGTATTAGTTTACAGTTGCAACAAGATGAACTTAAAACAGCAACTCATATAGGTTACAACAGTAACTCTGAAAGACTACCACACCCATCACGCATGAACTTTGAGAAAGAAAGTAGCAATAATCGTAAGAATTAAAAAGGTCCAATAACTGCTCAAGCCGCTTGGGATTATTACATGTCACTAAATTGATGAACTCTTTGCAAATTATGAAGTCAACAAAACCGATGTTCTTATCCTTTCACAGAAATTTTTAGATTATGCCAGAAGTCTAACTGGTGCTTTGTTTTCTCACAAGTTTGCAAATGTTCTGTAGACATTCAATGTACAGAAACTCTCCAAAGTAAACGGGAGAAAGCGAGCACAAAAAAGACTATACATACTCTTCATGCAATTGAACTGAACATCAATTTTCCTGACATAAGTGTCTTTATCCCAGCTCTCAGGATATTCTGCCAGAATACCTTCTTTAATTTGAGAAAATAAAATACCAGCAAAAATGTTTTTTAGCCAATCAAAGTGCGCTAAGTGAGAAGGTCCATAGTCAAAGTGTTTACGCAAGTAACTCCCAATTATCGAAAAAGATGGGAAGTGAGTGTCATTTTTATTGATTTTAAAGTTTTGTGCGAATTGGTTAAATATAAATGATGAATTGGGTGATAGGCAGAAAGAAATAATGCGACTGAAGCGAAATACCGATATTAGCTAGTAACAAACAGCAATAGAAATTTTTGAAAAATAAATAAATTTGGCTTAACGGTGACTCTGCATGTACTATGATAAATGATGTAAACTTATCAAGAAGTCTAAAGTGCCTTTTTCCGAAAAGTATAGCGACAAAATATATAGGTGTCAGGTGCTTTTACCTTAAATTCTTCAAAGAGGAAATTCACATGATCTTCCTGTTCCAACGAATTCAGAGTCTCTAAATAGTCTTGTACTTGTATTTCAGAGTTTCCACCAATAGAGTGCTCGAGAAGAACGTTGTAAATAAGGTTATACTGCGCCTATGAGATCATAAAGAAGGTTAGTTGTGCTCTGTGAAGGAACATTTTTAAGTATCCCGAGGACCTGTTATCCCTGTTATTTTGAAGTCAAACAAAGTGAAAATTAAGCTCATTAGAGCAATTAAACTCAGTCCCTGCTGAAGAGTTAGAAAAAATATTTTAACAATAAAATATCACACATATGATCCCGCAACTTTAAAAGATTCTTAACAACATGCTTGGCGCACCTCAGTTTGAACCATAGAACACCTCTGTTTTCTAATTTTTGAAACAACTTTATAGACGTCCACAATGCCTTCAATTTTCATTTGGTCAAGCAAAATATCCAATGCAATAAATGCGCCAGTTCGACCAGCACCAGCGCTAAATGGCGAAAATATATTGTAAGATGAATTTTTTTGCCATGCAACGGAATTTCCCAGACCTTGCTGGCATGAGCTGCATGGTATCGAATGTAAGAAATATTTTGAATTTTGCCAAAAATATCATATCGAATGTTTTCTTTCGCTTAGTGTCTTATATAAACTGTGCAAGCAAGTTATGTCATTTGTAGAGGTGGTCTCAGCAGGAACAAAACAAAACGCTTATCAGGAAGATGGCGAATATTAATATATTATCCAGTCCTGTCCGACTGATTTCTCCTTAAAGCAGATGTTATTTAAAAACAAATCAGACGGGTGAAGCTAAAAGTAATAAACAAAAACATTGAAAGTTCACTTGGCTTGGGATAATAAAATCATTTAAAGCAGCATTAGTTTGTGCGGTTACCAAGTTACAATGGGAAAGTAAAATTTATAGAGCAGACAGATTTCATGTCTTATAATTTTACAATTGCTACGTATTTTAAAGGCCAATGCCAAACAAGGTAATATAAAGACAGGAAAAGCATGAATGATTATGTCTAATGGTTCGTTGTAAACAATGAACTATTAAACTGAATAAAAATAAAATGATACTTCCCGCCAAATTTCGAAGACAACAATTTAACTAATTCTAGTCGTTTCAGGCTCGGCTGGAAGAAGGTTCGTTTATGATGGCTAATATGTGTGACTTTATCTCGCAGTATTATCTAGATGATTATTTAGTCTAATGGTCATAACACAATTGAGTAGTAAAGTAAATGGTTTGAACCCGGGAGTATCGTTACATGTTTGTAAATGTAGATCGTCCAGGTTGGTATAGTCCTGAGAAGGACTGTTTTTGCTGTTGTTGACTAACGTTTCGACAACCTTAGCGGTAGTCATCTTCAGAGTCAAATGAGGAGTAAACGTCAGGTTAGCCGTATTTGTTACTACGTCATTGTATTCCTGTACACACAATAGTGTAGTTTAGACGTAAGAAATATTTTCCGAGTTTAAAATGTTTTGGTGGCAGTTAAGAAAATTTCAGCCACATATTAGCGAAGCAATGCCGAACTTTATGAGTATCAAGTCTTGCACACGCTTATTCTAAGTGTAAGATTAACTCTAAAGAATTTCTTCTTACGAAAAAGCACATGATAACCCTTTCTAAATTATAAAAGGATAAGAACATTGTTATTTTTAAAGCAGATAAGGCTCTAGTGTAGTGATTCTAGATAGAGAGGACTATAAAAGTAAAATTCTGAACATTTTGAATGACAGCAACAAATTCTTCCAGATTGCAACAAAACCTCTATATTAGAAAGGAGATTGCAAGCACTTCTGAAAACTTGAAAAATCAAACCACTTGGGTGAAATTTTTTATAATTTAGTCCAACCAACGTACGCCGAAGACCACGTAAGTATGATTCGTCTAAAATCTACAAATCTGACTCTCCACTGCGACCAATTCTAGCCACGATTAATTCAGGTCATCATGAGTTAGCTAAAAAAATTGTCAGCGGTATTTATAGAGGTTCTCAACATACGCTGTAAAAGCTCTTTCACTTTTACGAATGAACTTAAACAGTTAAATCTTTTCATGTTTCCAGATCTAACGATGTGTTCTTTTGATACAACTAGCGTTTTCACTAACGTGCCTTTAGAAGAAACCATTGAAATTTGTGCTGATTATCTTTTTCGGTCGGAAATCACCCAGCCGAACATGTTTCAGAATGCTTTTAGAAAACTAATACTAGCTGCCACAAAAGGTGTGGAAATTGGCTTTGGTGACACCATGTATAAACAAATAGATCATGTGGAGAAATGTTTGCCACTTGGACCACTTCTTGCTAATATTTTTGCAGGCTACTATGAATTTAATCTTCTTTAATCATTATTTTGATTTTCGAAGAGATCTACTTTAACCTTTGAAAGAATTGTCTACTGGGCTACTTGCCAGACAACTCATTTACATCTAGACAACATCAATACTCACATGAGGAAAAAAACAAATAAAAAATAAAATTTAAAGAAAGGACAAATGAGAACACAATAATTTCTAAGTCTCTCATTGCAAGCATTAGTTGCAAAATTATACTACGTTGATAAGAGCTATTTTAATCTAATTGCGGATTCGCTTGTCTTAAGATTAAAATTTTAAAAAGAGCCTCCCTAAATGGATAAAAGTTACTCGAGGTACGGTAGAATACAGTACGTTTGGGATACCAATAGGGACGCAGCACTCCTAAAATGTTACGTTTTACATATAATACTTGGTTTAAACGACAGTTTTGTTCGCCGTTCCTTTTCGACCTTTTTTGTAGAATACAAAAACTGCAATGAAAATGCGTAAGATTGTAGATGCAAATGTGCTAAATTCAAAGCTTAAAATGTTAAATTTATGATTGCTGCTTATTTTTTAAGTACTTTGTGCTCAATTTTCAGGCCTACAACTTACCTGCAATGCACAAGGATCTTTCCATTTGTGATGTGGCAATGATTTCTTATTCGCTTTATGAATGCAAGTAGACGAGACGGATGAACTGACACTCCATGATCTGGCCATGCTGTGTAGTGAAACTGTGTAACTTGCTGCAGAAGTTCTGCATTGTATTTCTACGAATGTGTTAAATGAACTTGTATACCTTTTTGATATACATGCCTGGTTGGGTTGGAAAAAGTAGTTTTGGACTTAAAAAAAAATTAGTAAAGGATTGTATTTACCTGTTGAATTTGAAATTTTCTAATAGTGTAGTCAGTAAGCTCCCATTCTTCAATTAGATTAACAGATATAGAACCAAATAATTCAGCTTCATTACTTGGCCAGTACTTTTGGCACTTAACCTGATTTTAAACAATTAATTGACAAATGAAAAACAAACATGTTACAGTTTCTGATTTTATATTATTACAGCTAATTTGTCTAATTTATCCGTAGCACAATTATTTGCACTAAATTATATTATCAAAGAAGAAGCTCGGTTATTTAAAAACAATTTATCAGTAATATCGCTTTTTGTAAGCAATGAAATCAGTTTTATTGAAAGTAATTGTACTATTTCATAATTGTCGAGGATTATAAACAAAGTCATCGCTAATTATGGGGTAGTAAAAATGTCCTTACAATACAAAATTATATTTTTTCACGAGTATACAGTTACTAAAAATATTAATAAATTAAACTGTTGCACATACTAAGTTTTTACTTCACTTTTTAGCATTAATGACCACATCACAAAACGAATACATTGAGTATAATATAAAAGCTAACTGAAGTGCCAGGCGGGAAACGGATTCTCAATATAAATATTAGAGCCCAACAAATAATTTTGAACATTGTCATAAATAATTTGGTTTTTTGAAAGTTATTAAAATATCGACGTTTGGTCTTGAGTCAAGACATCTTCAGACTAATAAGTTAGTTAACAAGAATTACTATGAGAAAGAATACTTGACATTAATGGGTTAGTATAGCGTTTTCCGATCAAAGGAGAGATCCCCAAGTGTTCCGGGATTCTGGTGTGTAAGTGGCGTGTGGTTGGACCCACATACGACGCGGAGCAGCATAGACACGTGTATTAACAAACAACACCAAATCTTAGAGACTTGAGAATTTTATCCTTAAGGGAAAAAATGAAGAGATTCGTGTGAGGGTACGAAACACGTGACATTGAGATGAGGAAAAGCAGCGTTGTAGAGACGATTGATTTGTGTGCAGATTTGTAAGGAGTGACAGCCGCTGAATGGGAGACAGAAATACACTATTTTCTCTGGGACATTAAGGACGGGTGGTTTCTGTTCGAATTTTGTGTCAAGGAAACGACAGACAATGAACAAACATTACATAAAATAGCACGAAAGGAATTAAGGAACAATTGGGAACAAATGGGAACAACAATAACAAAATTTAAAATGGCGTCTACTTCGCATTCGGTGAGTTCGGTCGGTTTGCAGAAGAAATTTTGCTCAAATTGTGGTTAGAGCTTAGAAGTAAAGTCCCTTTTCTGTCCAGATTGTGGCACTGCGATAAAAAGAAAAAGTGCTTCTCATAGTTCAAGTGCTTCAAGTTGTTTAAATGCTTCAAATGATGCACGGAATACCTCGCCAAGTTTTTCTTTGCCCAGTTTTCGCGCTTTTAACGCCAGAAAAGAAAAGGACAGCCAAAGTTCATTCTCAAACAGAAGTGCAAATAAAAAGAGAAGTATTGAAAATAAAGATGTTGTTATCCTAATTGGGGTTATAGATGAGAACGGCAAAATGAGACGGGGACAATCAATACCGTTAAAAGTAGGATCATCTGCTACTGCAAAAGCGATTTGCAGTACCGCTGTTAAGAAGCATTCTGTCTTTGACAAGTGATTTGATTGTGGTGTCATGTATAAACTGGCCTTTAGGGATGGCATCTTTGTTGAACATGTTCCTGGTACAGATCCTCCAGAACCATTTACATTGCAGAAATATAACGAAATGGCAAGATTTGGATACTCTCGCATATACCTGTACCTCATACCATATGCTAATGACTTTACCACTGACAGCAATGATGAGGAGATAAGCAGTCAATCATTTGATGAAATTGATCACTTGCCACCTGCCTCATGGCTAGATGACTTATATTGTAAAAAGATTTCCTCCTTGATTCAGATGATATTGGTGAACCCAATGTTAATCAATGTAGGTAGATGTTGTAAAAGCATGTTTTAGGCACAATGCTAAACAATAAATAATTTATACCCTGTAATAATGCCAACTTCATGTCATGCTGAAACAATATTACATTAGTTATTGATAAACATTAAAATTGTTCATTTAAAATTGTATATTTCAATTTGGATACTGTCTGTATTTCTAATAGTTCTGTCCTTTTTAAATTAATGAAAACGGTTCCACTATTGAAGAAATAACCAGTACCAAAGATACCTCAATTAAATACAGGTAAAGGTCATAAAACTATAGTTTTATTAGTATGACATAGTCTGCATAATTTTTGGTGATATTTAAAATTAGTATATCTATTTTTATAGCCCATGGTTTGCAATGGATGAAAGTGACACCGATAGTGATCATGAAGAAATAGCTGCAGTTATCTTAGAAAGGTAAAGAATTTCTTTACAGATATATTTATTTACAAGTTAATTTTATATGTTCTGTTCATAGTGACTGTCAATCTCAACTTGTAAGCAATATTACTCAGCTTTTTCATAAAAGTTTATTTAATTTTCAGATTGATTGCGTACAGCACATCTGTTTGCTATGATATATTTTGCGATGAATCGACTTGCATCAGTCTTCAGTTATTATACATTATATTATTACTTGTGCCATATATGAAGCAAAAATAATAGTTCTTTAAGTAGTGCTTTATTGTACAAAGAAAACAGAGAAAGACAGTGGCCATATTGAAATGGAAAAAATCATAAAAAGAAACTGACCTTGCAAAATATGTACACAATCATATAAGATCCCAAACTGTTTCATAGATGACCAACTTTACAAAAAGTAACATAATATTGCTTCTCCTTAACTGAGCTTAATCTATAGTTTTATAATGTTTATTTTTTTATTACTTAGGAAGTGAAGAATTTTTTATGATATCTTTGTATTTCACAATCAAATTATTTTCTTTTATATTTAGGGAAGGTTTTGTTCAGAGTGATGAAGATGAAGATCTTGCAATTTTACTATTGACAGTCATGCGCAGTTTCTATCAATATCACAGAGGAGACTGTAAGTGTTTACTATTATCACAGGTCAAATTTACTTATAGCATGCGATCAGTTGATGACAAAGGACAATGATGAGAGTCTTTGAGGTAGCTAAGAAATGATATGGTTGAGAGTTCAGGTGTTTTTCAAAGCACAGCAATGTTGGGCTCATATGTATTGACACATAATGCAAGTAAATTGAGTACACAAGAATATTATATGGCAGGAGGGGCATGTGCTATTTCCTTGATTTTTTCCTGAGATCCGCCAGCAGTTCTCTCACCTGTAATATATGATTACATCACAAAGGCTACGAGAATAAAAAAGCTATGTATTGATGAAGTACCTTATGTACAGCATAGAGAGATCGCAAAGGTGTTGTATATGTTCCATACTAAATGGAGACTTTCTACTTGAGAGAAAATGCTTTGATGCAATTGCTCCTTTTTCTCTGACTTTCATTAATAAATATTCACCAATAAATATTTGTTTCAGCTCTTAGAAATTAAATGCCAAACTGCTCTTTCTCAACTACTACAAGATGAGAAAATGATTGACCTCATGATGGAAGCAGGATACCAAAACTTGTCCTTCAAACTTGTCCTGTTGCTGAAAATCTTGTGAAGTATTTGGTTATTGGTACATGCAGGTATAAATAGTTCACATAGCTATCAATCTGAAAATATTTCAAATTTAAACTCTGTGAAAAAATTGTTTGTAAAAATTGAGAATTTTTTATCTTACTGGCTATGATTGTCTATATTATCATTAGTTGTAACACAGTCAACAAAACCATTGCTCTTCCACAGATGTGAACTGGAAGAGTTTTGTCTTGATTTGTCTCACTAAAATTTGCTAAATTTAATAAAGACCTATGCTTCATCATTCCGTCGCGTCTTTGTTTTTGGTGCCAACGATGACGAAGATGTTTCTGTTGATTATATCATAACCACATTTTAACCTCAATTCTCTGAAGAGGAAATCAACATAAGAGAAAGAGAGGAGGACGTATATGAACATTGGATTTCTTTTGTTGGAAGCACTGCAGGTATTTTTTGCCACCCTTTATTAGTTGTAGATAGATGCCCATAATCTCTTCTAATTTACACTCAACACTTTGCAAACGTTTTGAATAAATATAAAACTTTTTCTATTATAGATGTTGGCTCTGAAATTCAACCCATAGACATACTCAGATTTGCTAGTGGCTCAAAAAAGAAGCCACTTCTGGGTTAGGGTATCAACAAGACCCCGATGATATTGTTTCTAGAGTCCCATCACTGCTTGGCAAATGGTCTAATACAAGGATACAGATTACCACAAGGGTGAACCTGCGGTCCGACTATACTGCTACCGACTGCTGAATATAATGAATTTAATGATTTTAAGCTGGCAATGGTAACTGGTATCGTTGCGTAACCACAGATTCTTCTTTCATGATAATCATATCTCCTTGGCAGTACTTGCCCTTAATACATAGCATTGTTTTGTTCTTTATTCACTTCTATTTTTAGTTCAAACTTTCATCGAACACGGAAGCTTAAAATTTATGCTTCAGAGTTTATTGTTAAACTGTTGTATTCATTTTCGCGGATGAATTAAATCTCCTTCGAACATCAGCACCGGCATCGTCGTTACGAGCAATCGCACTACCTTCGGCGAATTCAAACAAATCCTGCTTTCCAAATATAAACGCAAGTTGAAAGCCCATGACCGGTAGTTCGTGCCACTCAATTTTGCGAACTTAAGAGCGCAATCCAAAAAAGACATTGCTTAAGTTTTAAATTACTTCTCTTAAGTAGGACAGTTTTCGTCCTGGGCCCATGACCTGTTAGAATGATAATGTTTAAGTAACAATTTTATTACAACATAACCAAATACAAAGTGCAGTGCAACAGAACAGAAGAAGAATACTAATGAATGGTGGCCGGTACGGGTCACCAGAAAAATAATTGAAAAAACATAACAAACAATAAGAAAACATCACTCAAAATCATACTACACATTTCAAAATACCCACTACACATTTCAAAATACTCACTACACATTTCAAAATACTCACTACACATTTCAAAATACTCACTACACATTTCAAAATACTCACTACACATTTCAAGATACTTACTACACATTCGTCCCAGTCTTACCCTCGTCCGGCCTGCCCACGGTCGTCATTAGTTTCCATATACGAAATTGACGTGACGTCAGAAAGCTAATATAAATATACGCTTCCGATATTACTATTAGTTCAGTACGTACGCGTAAGGATATTTTGATGCTATTGTGGCGATATGTTGTCTATGTGGAATTCGGCACATAGACAAACATATTGCCACAATAGCATCAAACTATGCGATACGCGTACATCAACTACTAGTAATATTTCTTCCAGGGATTTCTTGGTCTTGGTTAGACAACACAACACGAGTGGTCAATCTACAGATTGCATGTAGTTGTATTTGTACTGGTGATATTCGACAGTCATTAGTTTAACTAATGCACTTATTGAGGTGACTGGTATTAAAGTTCTAAATTTATTGCATTTACTCGAAATTACCGAACTTTTCATTTTCTTTGGCGATTCTTGTGCAACAAATTGTAGCGCTATGTACAAATTTCTTCTTTGGTTTCCTTGTTATTTTTGTAACGCATCACACAAGTACGTACGCGACCTAGCAAATGCAAATTCATATACTCAAATTTTTGCTGTTAAAGTAAGGACATGACGAAAGCCAATGCAAATACATTTGCTTGCGATATGTAGATCGTCTACTGATATTGTTGCCCGACCAAGACCAGCAAAACCCTGAAAGAATTTCTAATTAGAAGTCAGCCAATATTTTCATGATATTATCCCAATGTCCCAATTTGTTTGTCTTGTGAAATGCGGAATTATATATTTAATATGCTTACTTTATGATGTCACGTCAGTTTCATAGATGGAAACTAATGACGACCGTGGGCAGGCCAGACCAGGGTAAGACTGGGACGAATGTGTAGTAAGTATTTTGAAATGTGTAGTGAGCATTTTGAAATGTGTAGTATGATGTTGAGTGATGTTTTCTTATTGTTTGTTATGTTTTTTAAATTATTTTTCTGGTGACCCGTATTTCTGGATACCAAGAAGTGCTTTGACGTAGAAGTGCTTTCTGACAAGTGTCAGCAGTGTATCAAGTGGAGGAAGAAACAAAGTGATGCTAGATTTAAAGAATGGAAGGCAACTCATGTTTGTAAAATAAATCATACTTGGAGTTCTGGCAGCATGGAAAAGGCAGGTGCACTGAGGATGTTTGAAAGGTCCTTTGCTACAAGAGGGCTGAAGTATAAACATATGCTTCGGGATGGTGATTCATCTTCATGTAATGCAGTCCTAGCAAGCAAGCCATATGGAGAAGATTGCCTACAAAATAAATTGGAGTGCATTGGGCATGTGCAGAAAAGAGTAAGAAGTAGGTTGGGAAGACTCAAAAGTACTAGTAAAGGAAGAAAGCTCGCTGATGGGAAGGGTATGTCAGGTAAAGGTAGACTAACTGATGGCAAAATAGATGTGCTCCAAAATTATTATGGTCTGGCAATCAGAGAAAACCTTCACAGTGTTGAGGTAATGGCAAAGGCTCTGAAGGCATCACTTTTTCATGTGGCATCAACAAAGGAGAATCCACAGCATCACTTTTGTCCAAAAGGAATGGACAGTTGGTGTGGATATCAACGTGACAAGGATGGTTATAACCACAAGAATGGCCTTCCAAAGTCCATTGTTGATTTGTTAGAGCCTATTTTTGAGGATTTGGCTGACACTACATTATTAAACAAATGTACACATGGTTTGACACAAAATCCAAATGAATGTTTGAATGGACTTATTTGGGATAGATGTCCGAAGACAATATATGTTGAACATGAAACTGTAGCTCTTGCCACATATTTAGCTGTTTTGAAATTTAATGATGGAGACATTTCCTTCCTAAAGATATTCGAAGATTTGGACATAACACCAGGTTCCTTCACTTGCCAAGGTGAGCACATTTGTGACCAAGCTCGAATAAAGCTTTCAGCAAAAGAGCACTGAGAAGGTGAAGGGACAAAGAAAATCCCTAAGATATTATCGAAAAAAGTATTTAGACAAGGCTGAGGACGGTGAAGGAGTTACATATGAGTTAGGTACCTTTTAAACCCTGTATAATGTTATGAAAACTTTACTATAACTTTAACTTGACTTTTCTCCATTTCGTTATTTTTTGTGTGTCAACAATATTTGTGACACTGTAATTTTGTAAATATTTATTGTAGAAGCTTGATATTTAGTATATTTATTCAGTACAATATAATCTAGAAACTGATTTTTTCAAATTTTCAAATTTTACTCACAGATGAATTATTTCCGCTTTTTTTTCGAAAAAAATGGTGGATTAAAACCCAAAATATCTGACAATTCAATAAATCGGCTGTTAAAGTTTTATAAAAAAATTTGAAGAAAATTGAAAAATCTCATTCCCTAGCTCAGATTCTTGGCTTTTCAAAAATGTATTATTTGTTTCATTGTGATGACTTGTTCTTGAGATATCATGTTAATGCTGTTAATTAATTATAGGCTAATTAATGGCCGCCATAATGGATAATTAGTGTAATTAGCAACTTCCTGAATTTTTTGTGCACTTCATTTTCTATCACCTTACTAAATCAGAAAATGTTATTTTCACCTTAGTTGCTATAGAGGGGTGACCAACTTAATAATACGTTTATCCTAATAAAATAGAGATATCTGCTCAATGAATATATATTTACTGCTGCACTAATATATATCATGAATAATGAAAACATTTCATGCAAAATACTTTGATTTCTATCAATTTATTAATCTGCATTGCTGTGGGCCACCGTATTACGAATGGTGGTGAATTTGTCGTTTGAGAGGTAAATGTTAATGTCTAAAAATGGCAGTTGTCCATTATTTTCCATCTCAGAGGTGAAAGTGATGTTGGGGTGTTGATGGTTGATGTAGTCAAAAAAAAGAGGAACGTGATCAAGTGATTTAAAAAAGAAGAAGCAGTCATCGACATATCGTCTGTAGAAAACAGATTTGAATTTGTGGGGGCAGTTTTTCCGCCAGTTTTGTTCAAGGAAAGACATGAATATGTAGGCAAAATGAGGGCCAAGGGGACTACCCATAGCAACGCCAACAATTTGGTGGTATAAGCGGTCGTTAAACATAAAGTGGCAATTTTTAACAGATAGCGTTAGTAGATTACTGAATTCGGTGCGGTTGAGTCCATGAAATTGTTTATGGTAAGTAAAAAGAAGATCACAGATAATATTGATTGTTTCATGAAGGGGAATAATGGTGAAAAGAGAACTTATATCAAAACTAGCCTTAACAACTTTGTTAGAGTTGATGTTAGTGTTAAGTAGTTCTGGGACGAAGGAGAATGAGCCTTTATCACAAAAGAGTTTGTGGAGATGGGTGTAAGCAGCTTAATGAAAAATTTAGCTAGTTTATATCAGTAGTAATTTAAAAAAGATAGAATTTGTCGTAAGGGAATGGTTGGTTTGTGAAATTTTGGAAGTCCATATAGTATACATATGCGTGAGCCGGTCAGATAGAGTTTATTGTAAGTTTGTTAATCAATTGATTTCATTTTCTTGAGTTGTTTGAGTAATGATTTCACCTGGGTTTCACTTTATAGGGTGAATTTTACAGGGTCTTCGCTTATGAGTTCAAATTTTGAGGAATCGGAGAGGATTTCTGACATTTTGTTATTGTAGTCGGTTTTATCAAGGATGACAACGGCATTGTAAGGTTTCATGACAACAATGCTATTGTCATTCTTCAGGTCATTTAGAACGTTGATTTCGTCTTTTGAAAATAAAACTAGGAGGGCTGTAGCAGCGACAACCAGATAGTGCGATGTGTTTCATTTGGGTTTTTACGAATTCATAGTGAAAACCAGAGTGTTCATAGATGCTTTCATTATGATTTGCGGCGAAGAATTTATCAAAGGGTGCGAGAAAATTACAGTGGTTTAACTTAGTAGGTGGAATGGCGAAATTTAAACCCTTGGAAAGGATTTCTTTTTCTTTGTTGGTGATTAACCTGCTCGAGAAATTAAACACTACTTTGTCTGGGTTGATTAGAATGTTATTGTCGTTCTTAGCGCAAAGGTGAAAAGCTTTCGATCTTGTATGTGTTGGTGTTGGTTTAATTTCTTCGAGTTCTCACGATCCGAAACATTCTTCAAATGTATAAAGTCTAGTGTAGATACGGATGAAGCTAGATGAGAATGGGTCGTTGTCAATTGTGCAGATAACATGCGTATTCTAGAGTGTTTGTCGTTTATTTATTCGAGGAGCAGTTTGGTTTGACATTGTAGATAGGCGCTAGAATTTTGCAGACGGCGATTTGCAACCTTGAACCACAAGAAACGTGGTATTTCTGAACGCTTTTTACATGTTGTAAGTGAAGGTTTTAGTTTGGAGATGAGGGTCAAACCACACGCCACTTACACACTAGAATCTCGGAACACTTGTGGATCTCTCCTTTAACTGGAAAACACTATACTAACCCATTAATGTCAAGTATTCTTTCTCATAGTAATTCCTCCAATCACCCTGCTTCACCAGACGACTTTAAAATCATCTCATCCTACTCTGACACATTCGACTTCATGATCCACGAAAGCCTCCACATCTTCAAACTAAAACCTTCACTTAACACCCAAGGCAGCTCGAGCCCTCTTAAGTTTTTCTAGTCTTAACACCTCACCCTAACTATACATCACATCACACTTCCACTTACGCAGTATCTGATACCTCAAACAATGTAAATAACTTTCTCTATATATATATCTATAATTCTTGAAGATATCCTGAGTCACGACGAAACGTCACTATTTTAATAAATTTCACAAAACCAAGTTGTTTATGACTTTGTTCAAAATTATTTGTTGGGCTCTAATATTTGTATTGATTTACTCAACGTAAACTTTATTCCCAAGCTGTTTGCTAGCTTCAACTATTCCTTGTTTTGCCAACAACTATCTTGCTAACGATTGACATCGGTTCTCTCATTTACCTTACTTTGTTAAATATTATAGCGTGCGAGTTATTGTCTGCTGGTGATTGTGAGGTAAAACGAGTAACGTATTTATTCTGCATGTTCTACTTCTGTCATATTAGGTTCAGAACATTGTCCTTTTTTACTATGAAGGAAAAATCCACGTCAGAACTAAATAAGTGGGCATGACTATGGCACTTGGTAAAGCACTTGTCACAGATAAACTTTAAACTAAAACCGCAATCTTCAATTCAAATAATTCATGATTAAGATAATAATTCAATATGTATCATGCACGAAATGTGTCATACAATATAATTACTGATTTCCTTATAAATACTATCATTTGCATTAATTGAGGAGCATTGAATGCATTGCCAAAATAAAAGAAGCTGTTTACGCCACTCCTGATAATATACAAAGACAACAAATAGATACGCATAGCGTAAAAATGTGCACCACTTCAACTATGTGTCATCTAGCTGCAGCATGAAAAGATTAATCAACCTTTTTCAAGTGATATTATATGTTTGATGATTTGTGCTCTTTGTCAAGTCAACTGACTTTTTTTAACACTTTAGACCAAATGTAAAACTATTTTTGTGAAAGCCTTTACTTAGATTGTATACTTCACGCACGTGGCATTGGACACACGCAGGAAAGTGAAGTTCTCGATATTTCTCAAGCTTTAAAAATTAGTTCATTATTATTTTCTTGAGAAGCATTTTTTGCTATATTGAAAACAGTTTTTTTTCTGACAAGTAAGAAATGTTGTTAACTCAACCTATAAATCAACACATTTAATAATTGTATAGGACATCTTGTATTTCTATTTCTGGGCAAAGCGTAATGCTTTTCGTTGTTCACTTTTTTTTAATAACATTAAAAAGTACTATATTTTCGACAATTCCTTAAAATAACGTTTAAACTGAGCAAATCTTCTCTCATTCTTACTATTCGCAAGATTTGTATGTCCTACTCACTGTTTGACACATACTGTATGTTTCATTGACATTTGACACGTATGTTTCATAAATCCAAAGATAGAAAAGGTAATTCGTACAAGTATCAAAAGCAAAATAAATACATTCGCTTTTTGCCTTTCTGCGTAGTACCGCTTGCACGAAACAACTAACCAAAACAGCTCTTGATAATTGTTATCGCTTGCAAAGCCTGGATAGTTAATACTAATTAACAATATTTTGATTCAATTTCGTCATGACCTTATTACGCAATACAAGTAAACGTTAAATCACTAAAGTAAACGTTAAATTGCAAACGTATAATTACCAAGCATGAATGTACAGTTCAATAACAACCATGTCAACGTTTACAAACCACATAAACGTGCAAGCAGTGCATTAACTTGAATAATAAAATTGCATTTAAATTCACTTTAACACACAAAGTTAGCTTGAGTGTCAGAAAAGTGTCACAAAAGTGCCAGAGAAAAATTTCACTCCCAAATTATCGAGCAAATAAAATGAGAATTCGTTACCCAAACAACATTCTATAATTTTCGCTAAAAGCAACGAACGCAATAAACGGTGATCTTTATACTCTTTCGTAATTCTGACAATCATCAAAAATACACATAGACAGAGCCTCTGAGCCTCAAACCGTGCTCATACCCTCAAAAAAAATGAAAGAAAAATTTTTTCATGCACTTAGTACTATGACAACCAGCCTCTATTGACTAAGAGATGCTATTTATTGCATAATAAGTTATGTTTTAACATCTCTGTATTACAAGATGTATGAAATACCTTTCCTTTTTCTAAAAGATTTGTTACCATAACAATAGAGGAGCAATTTTGCTCCCAGACCATTCGCCAAAAATCACTAAACATTGCTGCAACTGGACCTTCAAAAAAACCCAGAAATACAATCAATCAAATAGAATTTGTAAATTTTATCTAAAAATGAAATCGTTTTATTAATTTCTTCAAGTATTTGACCTATCTATGAAATGGCGCATAGTTAAGCTACCATTGTATCCCATTGATATATTAAATATTAATTGCGACGTATTGCATGTACAGTATAGGTTTTGCATAATCCATCATGAATAATCCAAATTGGCAGAACAAGAGATGAAAATAAAGGAGAAACACACTCCAAAACCATCATCTTGTAAACTCAAGATTCAAGATATAAAAGTAAGAGACATGATTTAAAGCAATATCTCGACTTTACTTCAAGGTCATTATCAAGCAAATGATCTTAAATAGTTGTTACAAGGAAATGAAGTAAGCAATAAAAAGAAAGAAGGAGATGAAAGGAGGTGTTACTGTCTAGAATTACATCAATGAAATTATGAAAAAATAGCAAGTTCTTTAGAAGCCTTCAGTCCAGATTTAGCTAAGGACTTTTGAAACGTATATAAATCGCCTCAAGGAAAAGCAAAACATTAGAATTGTTATGATGAAGACAGTGTAAAGTGTTAGGGTTGCTAAGAATGTGATCATGGGTGGAAAAAGAATGCGATAGATTTATGTCATTAATTGTGTCATATAATTTGAAAATGTCAGTTATGTGTTGTGCGTCATGGCAGTTTGTTAGATGGTCATGAATGGCGCTTTTGTTGGGGTCGGATTTTGCGTGTTTATTAAGTCTAGTAAGAAGGGTTCTGTTAGTTTTACCTATGTATGACTTAAAACAGCCAGGACGAGTAAATTCATAAATTAAATTTCTGCAATCCAGAGTTGGTATTTTGTCTTTTTTGGGAAGGAAATATGATACTTTCTTTGTTTTGTATAACACTATAAATTTCACTGACTCTTTTAGATTACGTTGTAATTTTGTTATTAGTGTTTTAACTAACGATTCCCCCTGACTATTACAAATCTTAAAATTCCATATTTTGCAATCTCACCAAATTTTCCCGCCTTAGTTATGATCCTACCGCCACTAGACTGAATACATTACAGAGCTATCTATTAACTTTGCGCAATCGAAATGAAATATCTCAATGCAAGTACACTTTTATGCGACCACACAGAGCTTGTTTTAGTCGAGCTCACGGGTTGCCAAAAACGCACAAACCATTTTCACACTTACTCAACTTCATTCCGACCGATAATCGACACAACAACACCACCTCATAACGTAGGCAAATTTCTTTCACAACTTCTTAACCCATTCAGGCTTAATAGACACACTATAGCGGATTTATTTCATGCAGTCTCCACCATAAATTCCATCCTACTGAATTATTCAATTAAGGTTATAAGTTTGTTTCATTTGATGTGGAATCACTTTTCACTAATGTGCCTCTCAAACGAAGTATTGAAATTATACTAAAGCGCGTCTTTAACGGCAAACTCGTTAAGGCAACACTAACAAAACGGACTTTACAGAAATTGCTAAAAGATTCATGTACAAAACGGCCTTTTCTTTCAATAATTATATTTTGAACAAATTGACTGTGTTTCTATGGGTCCTTGTATTGCTCTTGTGCTAGCAAACATCATTCTCACAGAATTTGAGAAACAAACTGTCGATGACTTGTTACGTGCGTGGTCCTGAAAGAATAACTATTAATTTTGGTTTTATTTCCACACGCAACAAAGATAGTGTGAACCAGTTATATTTCTCGAACAATTTATTTATCTTCGCGTAATTATATAAGTAGATAAGTGTCTTAATAATAATATAAACAAGTATGAGTAAAACGTATCTCCTCTGTCTGAGTACAACCGCGAGTCTTTATTCTTGAGCGTTCGTGAGTCCAACAATGACTCACAATAGTTTTCCAAATAGATTAAAGGCACAGAAGCCAAAAGATAGTTATGGCACAAAAGCCAAGATAGTTGTCTGGTAGATTGTAGCTTGTCAACCTACTTCAGTAGGCTATGCCTCCTAAGTTTATCTCCTCGTAGGTTGTGCTCGTAGGTTGTCCTCGTAGGTTGTACCCAGTAGTGTAAACTACTCATATATATATATAATATCTAATGGGAAGTATTGTGGTTTTGTGACCTACATCCCATACGCAATAGAGTATGTTACAGCAAGATATAGTTAACCAAAATAACAACGCGGTTCTAAAATATGTGTTTACGCATGTAAGCAATCTTCTAGCGCATGCAAGTTAAAGTTAAAATATAAAAATATGAAATTATAATATGATATAATAATAGTTTATAAATGATAGTAGATGATAGTAGTTGATATCATGTAACAGACCTCATAAACTCTGGATTACTAAAGTTTTACTGTCGCTATGTAGATGATACCCTCGTTTAAATCGAACTCTCAAATATTCCAGCCGTGTTAAGGAAGTTCAATAGCTTTGATAAAAGCTTAAAATTCACTTTTGATGAATATAAAAATGACAAAATCCATTTTCTTGATTTAGAAATTTCAAATTCGGGTATAGACAATTTTCGTAAGGCTACTCACACCTGTCAATATACACGCATCGACAGTTTTGAACCTTGGTGTCGCAAAATGCGTAGATCAAATCTCTTTTCGTACAGGCTAATATGATTTGCAGTAATATAACCCTCCTTAATAAACAAATATCCAGTATTACTAAATTTATGTCTTGGAACGTTCTATTATACGAAAGGTCAGAGAAAAATACAAAAGAAATACTTTTGTTAATAATGATCCACCAGTATGAAACAACCACCAAGACTCTAACTGCCCCAAAGTTTGGCTCAGGATTCCGTACTTAGGTAGGCAAGGGGAATCGTTAGTTAAAACACTCATAAGGAAGTTACAACGTGATCTAAAAGAGCCAGTGAAATTTATAATGTTATACAAAATAAAGAAAGTATCATATTTCCTTCCCAAAAAAGACAAAATACCAACTCTGGATCGCAGCAATTTAATTCATGAATTTACTTGTCCTGGCTGTTTTAAGTCATACATCGGTAAAACTAGTAGAATCGTTCTTACTAGACTTAATGGAGACGCAAAATCCGACCCCAACAAAAGCGCCATTCATGACCATCAAACAAACTGACATGACGCACATCACATAACTGACATTTTCAAATTATATGACACAATTAATGACATAAATCCATCGCATTCTTTTTCCACCCATGATCACATTCTTGACAACACTAACACTTTACACTGTCTTCATCATAACAATTCTAATGTTTTGCTTTTCTGAGGCGATTTATATACGCTTCAAAAAGCCTCAGCTAAATTCTGGACTGAAGGCTTTAAAGAACTTGCTTTTTTTCTTAATTTCATTGATGTAATTCTAGACAGTAGCACCTCTTTCCATCTCCTTTCTTTCTTTTCAATGTTTATGTTTCAATATTATTTCAGTTAGAGTTAAGAACAAAAACAATTATTAAATCCCGTTTCGCACGATATCAAGAACTATTACGAATTTGTATCTATACCAAAGCTTTCCTTCGGCAGATAACATTGAATAATTATTGATATCATGCTCAGGGGCGGATCTAGGATTTTTCAAACAGTCATAAAACGTCGGAGGCGCTCCACACCTGGGGGGGGAGGTTCGAGGAATTCTCCCCTGAGAAATTTTGAACTTACGAGCCTTTCAAATGCCATTTTTAGCGTTTTAGAGCAATACAAAATGCATTTTGTGGGCATCGTTTTTGCGTAAAAACAACACATTTTGCTTACGTTTTTTTCAAAAAAAACTGAAGTGAACAATACTTGACTGTCTGTCCAAATATTTAGGCTCATTACCAGGCCAAGTATATGGCTCATTAGCATGTCTAGGAACATAAAATTTATTTTACAATAATGCTATTCCAAAAAAGATATTGTCTTAAAAATTTCTACCAAGTTGTCAGGCATAGACCCTTCTAGAGATCCAGATTAAAACCTCTATATACAGAGTTAAATTACAAATTTGGTACTACAAGGGACAGTTCATAGATGTCGAGAAGCTTAGACTTCACACCATGCATATTTTTTGCAACCTTTACGCATCTCCTCGTACAGTGCCGCATAATTCATCTTTTGAGAAAAAATTCAAAATTTTTTTCTTCCAAAGATTAAGAAAACTATCAGAGTGAAAATTGGCAATTAAGGACAGCTTAACACCATTAATATTTATTAGGCATTTCACTAGACTATTATCTTCTGTAAGTATAAGCAAGGTGTGCTATATAGCAATTACTAGTAGCATTGTATTTGCCAATACAAACAGAATGTAAAAAACATGCCTTTAATTATATAATTACATAAATGTTAAAGTGCTTATATTACGAATTTTAGCCCCCCTTTTTTATGAGCTTAATTGAAAATTTGGATTATTTGAAGAACTATGACATGTTGCTGGACTTAAACAGATAAATATAAGTTCCTTAATTTTGCCTCCAAAGTCGGGTACTATTAGCGAATTTTTTACGACGCCATATTGATACTTGTGACATAGATAGTTGAACACGTCTGTTTCCGTCAATATAATATTATATTATAGGAGGTGATTTTGTTGTCGTTTTTCTTGTCTTAAAAACAAATATTGACAGTATTTTCAATAAAATATTAAAAAACAAGTTTTTCGGAAAGTATGGCCTCAAATCAGTGCTCAGATAATTCGAATTCGATGTCTGAATGCGTAACTGATTCGAGCTCGGAATCCGTGGGTTACGTCGAGCATTTAAACGACTTCGCATATAACGATGAACCGCTCGCAGGAGATGGTGATGAATGGCATCCTCCAGATGATCCCAATGGAATTCTCCCTGCGACATTAGAACAACGAAGTGATGGCGTAATTCTACTCGGTGAATGGTAAGTTGTTGTTTTCTCCTGTTTGTAATATACATAAAGTTGCTTTATAAACCACAATGCTCCCACGTTTCAGGTGTAATTGTCAATGCTGTCATACCGATTTGTTAGAAGGTGCATTAGAGTACAGATGCTGTAAGGAAGTAGGACCAGCTTTGCAGAAAATGACATTCGATGGCAGCATTGAGAAATTATCATGCGTAACACAGCATGCCAAATTTGGGCCTTTAGTTCACAGGGGCGGATCTAGGCCATGGCGAAAGTGGCTTGAGCCACGGTCAGAATTCTGCCACTTAAGTTTTTCCAGGGTTGACTTTTTCATGATTAAAAATTTTGCTCAAATACAGCAAAATTCGATCAAAAGCAAAAATTGAATGAATTTTGTAATTTTTTGTCAAAAATTTGTGTTAACAGAACAAAAACTTCAAATTAAACGTCTTGTTAAAATAGTATTATCATCCAGTTAAACTCTGAACTGTAAAATCACCGAAAGCGTCTCGAATCTTGCCGAATACGCCATGAATATGCTCGGAATATGTTCGTAAATTCGAGCCTGCAATCTCAGAATGAAGAGCCACGGTCAGCGTTCAAAAAATTTCGCAATAGTTGCTAAATATAGTAACCTTTAGCCACGGTGCAGCGTTGCAAGCCAATCACAGGGAACGTTTTGGTCATGTGCGCCACGGTGAGCCACGGTGAATGTATTTTGATTGCGCAATAAATACAAGTCATATGAAATTGCTCGATTCTTGTCGACTTGAAAAACGCTACTTCTAGTTCTTCTCAGCGATTAGGATCAACGGAAACTTCTAAAAAGATCGATGTTCTTGAAAGGCTCGTCCAAACCTTTCAGCAAGAGAACGCTTGCGAAATTATTTCTGGTGAATTGTCTAACTTGAGACAACACTGTGTTAAAATAATCAACGAGGAAAGGCTTCGTCGTATAAATTCTACTGGCGATATTATGCTACGAACTTGTTCATTTTCAAAACTGCAGTTCCCTGAAAGCCAAATTGAAAGATCAGGACCCAATGTCCCTGTTAGGTAAGAATTTACATGTATTGGGGTATTAATTTATATTTTTATTTACGTTTGACATCTTGGCCTGAAATATATGATCAATCCGTTAATTTTCAGCTATTCATATTTAGTGTATCATGTAAAATATATGTCTAAAGCTGTCATTATTTTGCATACTCAGTCTGTCTAATGTACTGCCTACATAATTCTAATTGTTACTGTCTGTTAAATAAAACGTTTTACTTCAATATTAGTCAAAGCTAGTCTTTTTAAAATTTAACCCAATCAATAATGTATTATCCTTGTATTCCTGGCATTTTATGTTATCCCCTGGTTAAAGAAACTAACATATAATTTTGAATAACTGTTACTTTCTTTCGCGATTTATATAGAATATTGATGCTATAGTAGATGGAATCAATAAGTCGTCTGAATCCTGTTCGACATGCCTAGACTAGTTCCAAATCTTAGACTACCTGCCTGTGACTTTGACTTTATCATGATGTTACCAAATTAACACAAAGACAAAATAACTTTCTAAATTTCAATATTATTAGTCTATCTTTAACAGTATTGGTTACCCTTATTTATTCTAATGTCAGAGTCAGTCTAGCAGATTTGTTTCCAGGTATAGCTTGGTATAACAAAGCAGCCATTGATACTTAAATACTAATTTTTCTTTTAGTACTTTAGCCAATGGGAATTTTCTGTTCAATGCATGTTTTATTGCATTAGTTGGGAATGAGACTCTCTCTATTTACTTGAGATTCCTAACTAGTGTTGAAATGTTTGAGAATGCAAAATACTATTCTACCCATCCTCTCATCGAGTCCCAGCATAAAATGGTGCGTTCACTTCACTTAAAAATGCCTTTGCCATGTGTATATGCGATGCAGCTCTAACCTCTTTAGAAAATGCGAATGAAATTGCAGCTGTTTTACAAGAAGCGGTGGAAAGAGCGAATAATTACACCTTTTCACCCTTAATGTGTATGTTTGCTTTGTCCACAGTAATCCAGTGTGCTATTCAGTCATACTACCCAATTACTAATGATGCTGAAGTGAAAGGAAATTGGGATTCGTTGGCTAAAATGTTCAATTGTACAATATATCCAAGAGATTTTGTTGATGGGAGTGCAATTGACTATGTCCATATCTTTCGTTGTGCTGCAATGCCACCTTCTTATTTGGTAGATCAAAAAATCCCATCCACCAAAAATCATTCTGTTACTTTGTTTTTAGAGGACCACCTTTGAACATTGCTTTTATTAATCTTGCCATCTTTACCATTGTTGGATAAACATCTTTGTCGCTGTTGGAAGAAGATCACCTTTGAACATTGTTTTTATTAATCTTGCCAACTTTACGATTATTGGATAAACATCTTTGCTGTTGTTGGAAGAAGATCACCTTTGAACATTGCTTTTATTAATCTTGCAATCTTTACGATTGTTGGATAAATATCTTTGCTGTTGTTGGAAGAAAACCACCTTTGAACATTGCTTTTATTGGTCTTGCCATCTTTATGGCTGTTACAAAAGGCATCCTCGCTGCTTTTCGAAAAAGACCATTTTATGGGGCAACAAAGATGGGGAATTATTTTTTGTAGTGAACTGTCTTTGGTTATTCACTGCAAAATAACATGCTTCATCTTTCTCTCACTCCTGTGGCAACAATCCTGTGATTACAGAAAGGTACGGAAACTGCGTTGATTTTACATCAGACACCACAAGATAAGTAAAATTTTTATCCGAACAGAATTAAAAAATTGGCGATATTAGAATTTTTTTTAGATGAGATTATAACTAAAATGGACATCAAATAGACATCAAAAAAGTTGTCGTGTATATTAAATGTGTATTGGCAATAGTGCTTTTACGAAATTATCGAAACTAAAATATTGTTATATTCTACATTAAAAATGCAGGAATTTGCTTTTCCGAGAGTCTAGATTTCAAAATTTTCTGGGAGAGCATGCCCCCAGACCCCCTTAGCGTTGGCTCGTGCTGAAGTCGCTCGCTACGTCACAGGGCCACGGTCAGCCCAGAAGCTGGATTCGCCCCTGGTTCATGAGGCTGTCCTTGAAAACGTCGGGCCACTATTGAGAGATAGGAATGGACGTGCTTATCGCCGCCAAGTATCACAATCATTAAATATGTAAGATTGTAAATTGTATGAGAAACAATGTTATCATCAACATTGTTTCATCAACAATAATTAGTCCAACCTTTTTATTTACTTCAGGTACTTGAGAGCTGTGGCATACAGATGGTTGATGCGATGGTTTTGTGGGTCTATGGGATGAGAGAATACTCGGCCTTTACCTGCTTGTGTTTACCACTTTATTCGGAAAGCATATCCAAGTGGTAACACAAAAGGTTACATTCAATCAGAGGAGCGATGATGGAATAGTCTTTTAACTTGTGCACTGTAGAGACTGTTGACCTTCTTTGCTGAGTTTGGAATGGTCAGGAAATATGCCTAGATGAAAACCAAATAGGAGATACATGGATGCACTATATAAGTTGACATGCAGTTTAATGGTTTGCAACAAGAGTAAACAATAAAAACAAATTGGTGCAACTACTGAGAGGTTAAGCTAAAAGAATTAAATGAAAGAAAATCTTTTCTTCAATGTCAGTCTGGGAAAAAAGACAAAAGAAAAAATATATGGAATTAAATCATAGCATAAATGTAAAAATGGAAAATAGCAAGCCGTTCAAATGACGAATCGTTTGCTTCCCCAGTGCATACTTCAACATGCTCAGCTCCATCACTAGTAGATGGTACTTCCTCATTGAGAGAACATGTTTCCTTCAGCGATGGCTTATGGAGAGTATGTCGAATAATCAACAAAACTAATATCGAATTTAATAAATGACAAAAGAAAAATTTACATAAACAAGCGTAAACTTACTTGTCTTCGCTTTCGATCGGTTATTTCGCCCTGTAATGTTTCAGGAATCCCAGCCCCGTCAATGGTTGGATAGCATCTTTCTTCAACCTTCTTTTGAGCTTGACTTGCACGCTCAAATTAAGGTCAAAACAAGAATCTTCAAAATGCGCAGAACACAGACACGAGGTAGAGGAAGCCTCAAAACCCGATCTATGTTTACGCACAAATTTTACCCATTTTCTATGTCTTTGCGGCTCTGTTTCTTTTTTAGGAAACAGATGCATCGACATTCCCTCGGTTTTTGAATCATTGGCGCAACTAATTTGATTAGGTCCGCCAGCAACACAGCGTTTTCCTCCACGTTTCTTATTAAGATTACTAGTAGAATACGCCATGTTGATATATGTGTTCAACTTTCTACGTCACAAGTCATTAACATACCGATCAAAAAGTTCGCAAAAAAAATGCTGAAATCGTGAATTTGAACGTCCGTAAAATAATTTTCACCAATCCAATCTCAATTATAATTGCAGATTTAAAATCAATGAAACAAGGTCTTTCAATTTAGCTAATAAAAAAGGGGGTCTAAAATTCGTAATATAAACACTTTAACATTGGTTCATGTGTCATGCTTACTGGTTATGATAAATATCTTTTCATATGATCAAAGCTTGTTTAAATGTAAATCTGAAATAAATAAGTTTAGAAATTATAATGATCACCAGAAAAATTACCTAGTAATCATGAAAAATACTTTGCTGTTTTGTCAAATTTCAAGGTTTATCTGCATACATAGGAACACATTTTTACTTTATAGAAAATGCTTTTAATACTGCAATAGCCCTTTGGAATTTATGGCAAACAATCTGGTATGAGCCATAGATCAACACACCTTGACATCTCTACCTGAGGTGTTCAGTTAGAAAATGGGACAATAGGGAGCTTTAGCAAAAACTACGAGTACGTCTACGAGTACGATATACGTCATTTTGGCGCGAAAACATTGTTGCGACAACAAAAACACGTAGCCGTAATCAATCTGAGTACGATGTTTTTTAAAATATTCGTAGTCGTGACTACGATGTCTTTTTAAGCAAAGAAAGTAGGTATATTTCTTCGTTCTGTAAGAAATTAGTTTACAGTACTATTTTCGAGCATTCAGGCTTTAATTTAGAACCTTTTTTGAGGGCAGATGTACATTAAAAAGGAAAATATAACCTGCAAAACTTTGCCGACAAAACTAATCCTGTCCTTTGCCGACAAAAGGATTACGTGTTTAATCTGTCTCTGTTTTAAGTGTCATCTCTAAAAATAGGGATGACATTGACCTTTTGTAACGTTATAAATATGGCATGGTTTGGAGGTTTTCATTTAGCAGACGTTGACACCTGACGAGTAGTCTGCCGAAATGCATAGTGTCTCTTTCTAGCTGTAAATAACGGTTCCTTTGAATTGTTGGGTTAGTGTTCTGGTTAAAACAGTTCTTTTAAGAACTATTACATTGTTATTATCACCATTCACCATGGTATTTGCTATTTTGAAATTTTTGAACTATAAACATCAGTCGCGTGACAGATTTGACATACCCTAGATCTGCCCCTGATAATGCTCAACCTCATCCAGTAATTGTTTACTATTCCCAATAGATTTTTATTAAGTACTTACCTTGGGTTGCAATAAATTTTTCTGGAAGATAGTATCCCTAAATGTGCAGCAACATGCAATAATTTAAATGCAATATCTATCATTTATAGTTTCTTAATATCATTATCATATTTTTTCTAACTTACGTCGATATAATTGGCATTGATATAGTCAGATCCATCATCACCTGTATTTGACAGGCAAACTCTGGTGTGATCGTCTAAATATACATTGAAGCATTGTAATTGCATTAAGTGCAATGCAATCAATAAAGGAAGCTGCATGTTGCTATCAAGAAAACAATCTTTTATTTAATTGACCTCGTTTTAATTAGTTTTACCTTACATGAAACAACGTTTTGTTATTAAGCTGATAGTGCAGTCGATCTCAAACATTTTGCATTATATATATTATAATTCCAAATTGCGGGTCAAAGACGGCAAACTAAAGCATTTTCAACGTTTGACAACCAAGATAAAAAAGCTGGTATAACTTTACTGTTATTTGTGAGGTCTACTTTAAAACTCGTTTGAGGATAGGTAGAAAATATAGCCAAAATGACAGCGAAATCTGACAGCGTAAAGGTGCAAACTTTACAGTGGTTTTCTTTATGACGGTACTGGAGTGGTAACTCGTTATATTGCTGAATATGGATAAACATGCACGAGTGAGTTTTTTAAAGACTGCGGCGAAATGAGTCTTTGAAAACTCACGAGTGCATGTTTAGTGGTAATTGCACGAGAAACTGTGCTATTACTTAACAATAATATACTTTGAGATGTTTCGTGACTTTACCGTTTAACTCTCTTCCTCGTTTTGTTTCTTTCAATCGTTTCGGAAAAACGCCGCCTAACTGTTAAAAACATTCACCAAAAAACATTACTTTCTGTTTCTTTCTATTCTTTGCATTCTTTCGTAATTCTTGAATATCAAACAATTACAATTGTGGAAATCCTTGTTTACTTACAATTTCTGCTATGCTTTTTTTTTAATTAAAAGAAGTTTGTTTGGCTTTTACTGCTTTTCGTCCAATCAGGTTACAGTATCTGCAGTGTAATTGCACGTTCTACAATGCACTTAAAGATTTTGAGAGTTCAATTACAGCTTTTCAACAGCGTAATTACACATTTTCAGAGTGCAATTATAATAAACTGCCCTTCAACCAACCAATCACAGTCGAGAAATATCTCAAAGTATATTATTAATATCAGAACTCCAGCTTTACATCAAATTTGTTTTAACAAATAACATATGCCTGGGTGTCATTCGCAAATCTATAATCGATGTTCTTGCTCGACTCATTAAGTGATTTTCAAAAACATAAAGATTTTAAACGAATAAAGAATGTGAAAGAAATTGAAACTTACAAGTGACAATGTTTGCATAACGATTCTTGGCTTTATTAATATATCTTTTGCATTCATCGTAGGAGAAATTTGCTTTTCTGCTGATTGACTACGTTAAAAAAACAGGTTGAGTATAATTAAGAAGCCATAAATACAAGTTAGCAGCATAAAAAATAAAATAAAGAATAAAGATATTTTGAGTAAAGGAATATTCTTTAGACAAAATTGATAATTAAAAAGGGAATCAACAATGTTCATTAATCTATGAATCATCTAAACAAATTCTCGATTGAGATTTAAACGTTTACCCAGTTTTTAAAAGAGAAAAATTAACTTCAGCTTAAATTACGTCGAAATGGACAAGTACAAGTAAAAGTACAAGAATGACAAATTTGAAATTGTGCTTTTCCTGCTAAGTATTAATGATAAAATTATGAGCAGTGCTAAAAATTGGCTTTGCAATTGCTTCGAGTTACATTTAACAATTGTAATTTCTTTGAGTATGCAGTCAGATATTTTTTTGAAAGTAGATGATTTTGTTGAACAAAAGTTATCTTTATAAATGCAGTTGATATGCTGGAATAGCGTGAAAGTGATTTTGACTACAAACATATCACAAAATTTCGATCAGTTTTAAAATTACATGAGTGAATTACAAGTGAATTACAAAATCGGATAGCTCATTTCAAAACTGCTATGGCATGCTCCGAAGCTTGTGCATTTCATTTAGAGATAAACTTTTTAACGTGCTCTCCTAAATGCAAATTCCTTACTACGTCAATGTAAAATCGAGCGAATCTACCACCGAATGATACATCTTCATAGGCTTGTTATTGAATAATTTCTAATTAGCAGCAATTTTAAAAAACACTTGAGAAAAACGACGATTTTTTTGAAAGCAAACATGTTTCGACATTATCATAATGCCATCTTCAGTGCAGAATGGTTAGTGTTAAGTAATATGATACGTAATATGATATGAATAAATTAATTACAATGAATAGGATTATGATTTAGTCAGGAAGTTATAAAATATTTACAAAAAAGGAAAAGAAAAATAAGTATTAAGAACTTATAACGTAAATATAGTGTTGTAGTGGTGAACTTGGATATTTAAATCGGGATTAGTTTTATTGATGTGTAGAGCTTCCTTGATCTTGAGTGAGAAAGTGGATTGAACAGTGTCGATGATTTTAAAACAGGAAGGTGAGAATTTGTTTTTACATGAAAGAGAGGCTTGAAGATGTTTGTAGATAGTGGAGTTTTTGTCTGTGTGAGTATGTTCCTTTATCCTGGTAGATAATTGGCGAGAAGTTTCACCAATATAGCGGGAATTACATCCCGCACATGAAAATTGATAAACTACCATAGATTTGGAAAGTTCGGGAAGTGCCAAAAGTTCGGGAAGTTCCAAATCTATGGTAGTTTATCAATTTTCATGTGCGGGATGTAATTCCCGCTATATTGGTGAAACTTCTCGCCAATTATCTACCAGGATAAAGGAACATACTCACACAGACAAAAACTCCACTATCTACAAACATCTTCAAGCCTCTCTTTCATGTAAAAACAAATTCTCACCTTCCTGTTTTAAAATCATCGACACTGTTCAATCCACTTTCTCACTCAAGATCAAGGAAGCTCTACACATCAATAAAACTAATCCCGATTTAAATATCCAAGTTCACCACTACAACACTATATTTACGTTATAAGTTCTTAATACTTATTTTTCTTTTCCTTTTTTGTAAATATTTTATAACTTCCTAACTAAATCATAATCCTATTCATTGTAATTAATTTATTCATATCATATTACGTATCATATTACTTAACACTAACCATTCTGCACTGAAGATGGCATTATGATAATGTCGAAACATGTTTGCTTTCAAAAAAATCTTGTTATTGAAGTTGACACTATCATGTAAGAGAAATCATCTGGCAAAATTAACAATGTGTTAAATGACATTATCAAGTTTCTCAAACTAAGATTTGACACGACTAATTTCTGATACTTTTTTTAAAGATAAAGATCAATGCTTAAATGAAAAGATCGAAATAAAATTAGTGCCAATGTTTAAAGCTATTGTAAATTTAAATTTCAGAATTTCAATCACAATTTCAGAAAGTGATATATTTAAATACAAATATACGTACTATTGCAAAATTCTATTTTAAGTTGATCATCAACTACTTTGTCTTCATAACAACCATTTTAATTCATACATATAAGGCTCAATCGTAAATTTAACTGTCGTTAGTTAAATGGTAATTTGTAAAGCTCTATCCATTATAATTAAAAAAAACTCTTGACAGAAAGCCCTAATGTATGTCTTGCACCAAACTGTCCAACATTACTCAATTTATGAAATATATAGCATTTTTAAAACCAGGCTGTGACTGTGGTAAGAGCCATCTGGGCCAGATAAATTGAAGTGCCTATTTTCAAGTACCTATTTGCAGGGGCGGATCTAGGATTTTTCAAACATCAGTCATAAAACGTCGGAGGCACTCCGCGCCGGGGGAGGTCTGAGGCATTCTCCCCTGAGAAATTTTGAATTTCAGAGCCTCTAAAATGCCATTTTCAGCGTTTTAGAGCAATACAAGATGTATTTGTGGGCATCGTTTTTCGGTAAAAATAACACATTTTGCTTACGTTTTTTTCAAAAAAAAAATGAAGTGAACAATACTTGAATGTTTTGCCAAATAATTAGGCTCATTATCATGCCAAATATATGGCTCATTAGCATGTCTAGGAACGTAAAATTTATTTTACAATAATGCTATTCAAAAACAGATATAGTCTTTAAAAATTTCTACCAAGTTGTCAGGCATAGACCCCCCTAGAGACCCCCATTCAAACCTCTATGTAATAAGTTAAGTTAGAAATTTGGTACTACAAGTGACAGTTCATAAATATAGAAAAGCTCAGACTTCAAACCATGCAAGTTTATTGTAACCCTTTACCCATCTCCACATCAGAGCCAGCAAATTCACTTTTGAGAAAAACTCAAAATTTTTTTCTGTCAAAGATTAAGAAAATTATCAAAGTGAAAAATTGCAGTTAAGGACAGCTTAATGCCATGAATGTTTCTTAGGCATTTCACTAGACTATTATCTTCTGTAAGTATATGCAAGGTGTGCTATATAGCAATTACTAGTAGCATTGTATTTGCAAATACAAACAGAATGTAACCAACATGTCTTTAATTATATAATTACATGAATGTTAAAATTGGTTCATGTGTCATGCTTACTGGTTATGATAAATATCTTTTCATATGATCAAAGCTCGTTTAAATGTAAATCTGAAATAATTTAGTTTAGAAATTATACTGATCATCAGAAAAATTACCTAGTGATCATGAAAATACTTTGCTGTTTTGCCAAATTTCAAGGTTTATCTGCATACATTGGAAGACATTTTTACTTTATAGAAAATGCTATTCATACATCAATAGCCCTTTGGAATTTATGGCAAACAGTCTGGTATGAGCCGTAGATTAACACACCTTTACATCTCTACATGAGGTGTTCAGTTAGAAAAGGGGACAATATGTGACATGGGACAACATTTCATGTATGTGAAATACTCAGGTTTAATACCATTCCAGTCAAATTGTCAAAATAAAAAGCTTCATGGATCAGAAGACTCAAAATCACAGGTTATAGTAAACAGCTTCTCATGTAATCAATGTTAGTTTTCTCAAATCTTAAACAATATGTAGTATAACTGTCCAATGATTGAATGATCAATGATCATAAACTGAAAAGCCCCAAACATTTGTTTATGATAAAGTAAATAATAGTATGGCACCTTATGGCTACAGATTTTTGTCCATTGAAATATACTTGCAGAAATGTAGGATTTCGCTGCCATATAACGGCCACGATTCCCCAAGCATTATAGAAATCATAGCTAAAAGTCCTTCGGCAACAACAATTTTAGAAGCATCAATCTGCTTACCATACGCCATATTAACATAAATCGCATCACACACTCGCATAAATTGACTTTGGTATATTGCATTCATGCATACACTTCACTTGTCCTTTACTTACGATTTTCGATGTAAATTTCTGCTGATAAAACTCAAAACAATGTTGGCTTGGTTTTGAACATCAATGACTGAAATGTCGCTCGCGAGATCGTATTTGCCAAGCATTTACAATTTATCCATAAATTTTTCACCCTCTTGAAAAAATTCCCAGTTTGGAAAGCAGCATTCATGTCAACATATGAATTTGTAAAAGATTTCCATAAATTCCATCTGATTGTAGTTTAGTTTCTATCATGCTTCTGAAAATTACTATGAACGATCAAACATTCAATTCAGACAGTGAGCTTGACTATGTTAGTTCAGTTGGCTATCAGTCGAAATCGGTCAAACCAATCATAGTAAGACAAAAATTCAAATGAACCAATTGTAAGATAGCAATTGGACTCCCTGATAGGTCCGGCCACCCCTATTATCGGTCGAGATTATTCCAGACTGTCCACTGATCTGGCCATTGACCAATAAAATAGCGTTTCTGGCGTTCATAGACTCCTTTGTTCGACTTATAAAGGAGTCTATGAACGCCAGAAACGCTATTTTATTGGTTCAGTGAAGCCACCCCGCTTATCAGTCGGTTATTCCAGGTCAATTAAAATTCAACTGATCTGGTTACCAAGGAGATATTCGTTGCATTAGTCATTAGTTTTCAATAATAAATAAAGCTGGATTTTTATCACGAAGTAAATGCGATAATAAAGTAAGAATAATTAATGATTTTTAATTAATATGAATAGGTAATTTTTGAATTTCAAACATTAGTCGCGCGACGGATTTGACATACTCTAGATCCGCCCCTGCCTATTTGCTCCAGTTTATGAAATCAATGTGATAAAAACGCATATCTGCAGAAGTGTTTGTATTAGGGAGGGGTAGAATTTCTTTATTAGTACTTGCTAAATCAATAATACCTTTCTCCTAAATACATTTTGATGTCATCTGTAACATGTCTGCATATCCAAATGGCTACGAAAGAATAATGTTTTAATTTGCCTTGACATCTTTCCAGTGCATGTTTCGAGGTATTTTTTCATTCAAAAATATTGCGATTTGATCACAGATAATCAAAAATACCCATAGACTTAACTGAATTTTCAAAGAATGGCAAGAATAAAACGAGTGTGATTCCGGTAGTCAGGAATAATTAAAAGTTCTGAAAATATTAATGTATGAAAAAAAAATGCTATGCTTGATCTCGTCTGTAGGAACCAGGGTAAACGATGGGTAATCAGCGGGAGTAACTCTGTCTTATTTAATGGTCATTCTCACACGGAAGCAAAATACAATAGTAATTTTTAGCCTACGAGTTAGCCTCGCTAGGAGCCGTTGCATGACTACATTATTGCTGGAGTGTGACTAGTCCAAGTAACATGAGTGACGTTTTGGATTGTCCATGGCTTCCAAAATGCGGTACCCCATTAAGGATGATACAAGCTTATTCTGCACGTCCAAATAAAACATTATTGGTCAAAATCTGGAGATACTGATAAATTAGTTCATTTTGATTGGAAAATGTACCGAGTAAAAATTAATTAACAATATATTTTCTAGTAAAATATATATGCTTTTTAATTAAAATTAATACTTAGTGCACAGTGACATTGAATTAGATGACATACATTTAAAATGGATGAATAAAGAAAATTTTTTTATATTTTTATCCCACCTGAACAAAATGCCCGTTTACCATGACGATCCCATAGACTGGACCATATACCTATCTTAAAATATGCATTTTAATTTTCTTGTCTTATGTGGTGCTCACAGAATGATGTATGAAATTCCTCATTATGTGGGAAATTTTATAGAAGTAAAGCATTATTGATGAAGAATAAATAAAAGGAATATGTTTCATGTGATGTCGACAATCGGCAACTATTACGTCATTCACAGAATTAAGAGAAAAAGAAAATTTATAAGAAAGTGCAGCATTTTTTCGACATCATAATATTTTTGTTCTACACGGTAATTAACCAAAATTGCAGCGAATCGGGTATTCTACACTGCAAAGCACAACCGTTTTTACACGCGTATATCCTTCTTCTACAGTTTGTCAAAATTCAGTTTATGAATAAGTTTTATTATTTCTTTGTAACAATCACGAACATGAAGATACAAAGTATAATTAACCTGGATTGAAAAAAATTTCTAAGAGTATACTTTTTTACTTTAGCAGTTATATATTTTACAAACTTTCGTCTTTAAAGATTAAGCAGGCTAAAATAAAATAGTTTTAAAATCCAGTCACATGCATCCATTTATTTCTTCAAATAGACGTGTAGTCCTATTGGAAGCCACAATATAATCCATCCCCTGTATTTATATATCTAATAGCTGATTAGTGATTGTCCTATGCATGTCATTGAAAATATCACGCCAAACAAATTGCAGTGCATTCTTTTAACATTATGTCAATATTATAATATGTAAACAATGCTCAAGATGGCCAAATTTCAGTTGAACTTGAATTGGATAATATTTTTTTTGTCTATATTTTTCAAATTGAAACTCTCAGTTGGTAACAGATGTATGATTCATTCAGGTGAACATTAATCACTTTCTTATGGTAAGTTTATTGTAACACGTTTAAATAGAAAATAGATATTAGCATATTCATGGCAAACAGGCTAACAGATGACATTATCAAGTCACAACTGGGCAAAGGATTCTCTCTTTGTTTCATAGAAACAAAAACGACTATGATTTCAAAAAAAACTTACTTGACATAATTTTTAGAAACTAACAGATTGTTTGATGAAAATGATACCTCGAATTCCTCAGCAAAGCCTGTGTTTTTGTTTGTTTGGTGCTCTTTTACGTACTCCAAAAGATTTGACAGAGGAATTGGCTTTGTCGGGCTCGAAAGTACATCCAATGAATCTAAATCATTCAATGAAAGAGAACTTTCAACGGCGCACACCATCAATTACAAAAAGCAGATTCGCTTACGAAATGATTTCTTGCTTACGGTTTTATTGTGATATTAATAAATTTATTTGTTACAAAATGATTTTCAACCTCATCATGATGAAAATTGATTAAGTATTCAAAAAAATATTCTATAGTTACATAGCCATTTATGTTTTTTAAATAGCCTTAATGCACATGTTTGATTGTTCAGTGTTGATCAGTTACATATTTTAAATTGTTTCTGGCTGATCACACTATCATAAACTGTTTTGTATAAAACAGTTGATATCTTTATAGCATAAATATTTCCACAAATTTAATCAATTGAAGATAGTATTCATGTGTTAGCATCATTACCAAATAGCATTTCACTGCATTAAAAGTTCATCCAGTTAAAAGCTGCAGTCACATGAATAGCAATTTATGAGAAGCATTATTCAAATATTCTTCTGCTCTTAAAACAGTTTTACATGAAATATTTATTTTCACAGTTCAAACCAAGGAAGTAATTGCATCCAAAATGACAAAATTTAAGCTTTGTTTTTTGGGGGGTTGTGGTACGGTAGCTATAAAACAGGGAATAAAGCAATCCTGCTAGGACAATCACTTTAATAGTCGTTCAGGGCAACGACGTCCTCTGAATTAAGAAAAGTTTACTTCAGGATGTTTTCCATTTGTTTTTAACTCTTCCTAAATTAGTATATGCTTAACATGAATTCAATTCATTAATTTTAAATATCAGTAATTGTAGCTAGTTACAAAACCTATCGCATTTCTTAATCAGGTAGAAGTCTAAGAATCTCTTCATATTAAAATTTATTTGTAGCCACTGCTTTTAGGTAAGTGGAAATTTCAATTTTTCTGTAGTAGGACATATTCATTTTTCTCTTCCAACAATATTTTTCATGTTTTTGATCAAAGACATATTGTGAAATTCTTTATGTATCAAGGTACACCGTTGTATCTATAGTACAGGATAAAAGTATGTGTTGAAAGTATTTATAGCTCACTTAGCAGGAAAAGATCTGAAAAAAGATAGAAATAAAAGTTGCTTGATAGCTCAAAATCATGCAAAGTTTTCAAATCAAAAGTTTCGTGAGTAATTATATCACAATAATTACAAATCAACTGTGAGCTACTATTACTATCAGCCACATCAATTACTCAAAACTATGTGTACTAAACATTGAGCAAGGAAAAGCTCAGCTAAGACACAATAAGTTTCACTTAAGAAAATCAAATTTCCCATCAAACATCCATTCCCTCAAGTTTCCGTTAAAGACTAGCTAAGTGTGCAAACACCATGTATCCAAAAACATACTTCAGAAATTTATATTGGTAAACCAAAACTTGTGAACTGACTGGCCAATGTATTTCTACTCAATAAAGAAAATTTCGTTCTTGAAACTCACTTTTGCGCACATTATTTTGTGCAAATTTTTGCTAGTCGCTGAGCGACTTCGCTCGTGAAAATAAGGCCCTTAAAAAAACACAAGTCTATCTTGAGTCCATTATGTTAAATCCACAGACGAAAAAATCATAATGATATAGACCTTCAACAGAATGCCTTTTTCTCTTCGTTCGATGAAGATGCGTTTCACAATCAGGTGAGTTGTGGCTGTGGTGATCTGAAGGCGATTTTATCGGCGAGTGACCGTTCTCTTGGGTAGAAGTAAGAACATTGGAAGTTTGACGCGACATTTGAAAAGAAGATCTGGTATTTCTTCCCCGCTTTCTATGAAAATAAATGTTTAGTACATGATGAGTTATTAGAAAGGAGTAGTTTGTACATTAGTTTGTACATTAGAGCGTACATTGAAACGTCGTGATTACTTCACTATTGAACATTCACCTGTCAAAAATTCAATCGCCAACATTGAATTATAAATTCTTATTGAATACGAATTATTAAGTGTTTGGTATGAATTTTAAAATGTCCTTTAAAGTGGCAATTGTTTTTGTGTCAAAAATATAGACTGAATGGCCTTTTTACGCTTAATCCCAAGAGAGGTTAACTATTATTGCTAGTGTTGCGCAACAGCACTAGACCAAATCTGCCTACGAGCAAAACAAAAACATAGCAAGTCCTATATATCCATTGAGTTCTATAAGACCTGGAGGGGACATGTTAACAAAATTACTATAAATTATTAGCGCGCGGCCGCGTGGTGAAAAACATGGCGGATTTTGGTGGTCAAAGTCAGCGGAAAGACGGGGGCTCATGAAATAAAAATTTTGTCGCCCACCCTGATTTGACCACCACGATTGCGAGTATAGAAAATATCAAAACTATTTATGTTCCTAATATAAGCACTTCTTTAAAATTTTATTTATTAAACAATCTGCCAACTTCTGTGGTTTGCGGATGCTGAAAGAGCGACAGAAAAGGGAACATTTCTTGACTCCGGTAAGTAGCACAGTAGTAGTTTTACTATTTTGTTTTTAACACGATACTTGAAGAGTGTTTCTACGACTAAGTTTTAATTTAAAGTTATTTTGGTCCAGTCTTATTTGTTCTTCACTTAATCGCTCGCCAGACGTGGCGAAGCTGTCAATTTTTATCGAGTTTTGCATCCATCTTGTATCATGTTCAAGTTGTTATCATTTCATTCCCAAATGTTAGTTTGTATATATAAATAATTAGTATTAGTAGCTGTAAGTTGTTCAAGCAAAACAGAAGAGTAGTAGTGCTTGAAGGGTTTAGCATTTTTGAAAAATTATATCTTGTTCTTGACATACATTACACAATTCCAAAAGACTGTAAGTAATGCACAATAATATCTATAGAACTTGCTAAATTTCTTCACCTACACTGTCAATTAACTATTTTGCCTTCATGCAGCAATAGACAGAGTGTTTTTGTCAGAGAAACCAATGCACTTTAGTTTCCAAAATTGTAATTTCAATGGAAAATTAATGTAGTTCTGTTCAGTAATAGATCCAAGATTCTGCCAAGCTGTTTACAAAATACAAATTACCAAGCAACAGTATCATGGTGTTTTGAATTGTTTTCTTTTTTGTAGCTCTTCAAGTTCAACATATTTTCTTTATGAGTTTTCTGTAGATTTATCAGGTAATGACAATACACTTATGATATTTATCCATGGTAAATTTTCAGTTGACTTATGTCGTAGGACTGAAGCAAACATTTTCTCGCTTCCTTAAGAGCATTTTAACACAGATTTATCCATTTGAGAAAATTGTTTACAAACAGTCAAACACATAGAAGCATGAAATACTGTATAAGTTTGACGAGATTGACAGGTCCACTAAAGAATGCCGTTTGATTTTCACTTTTAAATGGTAAAAATGTCATAAAATAACTTAAATGTTACAGGCAAAATATGCGTTTCTCTACCGTCGATTTTCTTTATTTTGATGTTTGTGTGTACTGTGTTTTTCACGTAATGCTGAAGCATTTTTTCACATGATATGCTGTCGGTATCATAATTGTTTTTTTTTTCTCACTTGTTTTCGTTCATACAAACAGTATTAGAAATCAGGAGGGAGTGAGTATTGAAAAAAATTTTAAAGTTGAAGTTTTGCACACCAAAATCCGCCATTACCGTCATGTTTTTGACCACGGGGTCCAGGCCCCTTTTCCCCTCCAGGTCTTATAGAACTCAATGTATATATCATGTTGTTAGATAAGGTCGTAAATGTTTGTAGTTGTTGGTTAAAGTATTATGCCATCATTCTTTTTATTTTCACAAATAAAGTTAAGCAACATTTTTAGCAAACAAAGTAACCTTATCAAATTTTCAATCACCAACCTGTAATTATATCTTATAAACATAGCCACGATAATGACAACGAACGAAAATGTCAAAGCACCAGCAATTACACCTCCAAATACTGGAACGTAGCTTTTTCCGTGTATGATTGCTTCTGTATTTGAAAAAATTAGATTTTTATGTTGAGGTAACGACTGATAGTTCATATTTGTTATCCAGTGAAAAGAAAAGCATCAAGCGAAAAGTTCAGGAAGGTTATCCGATAAAGAATTTGGATATAATCACAGAGCAAAGTTCGAAAAACTAAATGTTGTTCAGCTATGGCATTTTAAAGACTGCCAAAACTGAAATAGAACTTGAGTAGAGTCCTTAACAAACTGTGCAGTATACCTTTGTCACGAATGGTCCGTAACAAAAAATTTTGCAGAAGTCAAATGTAAGTAAGTGATAATAAAATGGCGGTTAATTCCGACCATGTTCCGACTAATTGAAATTTAGTGAATTTAATTTTCGCGGGTCGTGAGTAAAAAGTCGCGTGTCGCGGGTATAAAAAACACTTTTTTGCATAGAAGAGTTAGAAAGAAGTTGATTTTAAATTCTCAGGAATTCTTTAATTCTATGTATGCCCACTTGAATCAACGTTCTCTGCTGTAATATTAATATATGACACCGATGGTTTGGATATTTAAAAACTGTGTTTGTTATACCTGTCCAAATATACAAAACGATGCGTTTTTAATATAAGAGGAACTATTATTAGTTTTGATAGCTGCAATATATGTCTGCAGTTGAATGATTATAACCGTCAATAGAGCAGAACTATTTATCCGTACGGTGTCTGCCATTTGAAGATATACTTCAGAATGTTTTTCAAACGCAGGAACTAAAATATGTTCCGGAAACGGAACAAATCTGGTTCAAATACGAGTGTATCTAACTCACTGATATGTATATTACACTGGATAACGCACCATGTATAAAATATAGTAAGACTAGAAGTTGCTATCGCAAGGAGTGCTGCCCCGACCCCTTGTCTGGAAAAAATTGCAGGGTTCAGCCGTAGTCACAGCCATTGGAACCCATTCCGTGTACAGCATTCTAGGTGGTTTCATACATACGTTATGATTGGGTCATTAGAATGATAGACAAAGAAATTTTACATGCGTGTCTCTCTAACTTTTAGCTTTGCGTTGCAAGGTTTATTTCGCCATGTTTGGAGTTTTCTTTCCATCTGAAGGCCGGTTTATACGTTCCGACTTGTGAGATCCGATTGTTTCGGTTCCGTCTTTTGATTGCTTGTTAAGACGGTCAGATAGTTTTGTTGATATTTAAATACGTTTAGATATTTATAATCTTGAGAGCAGCCATTTGTGTTGTCCAGTAATTTATCGATATATTTACGTACTTTTCTTCTTGTTTCCAAGTCTTTCTCAAATATATAGAATTTGGCTAGTCGGTATTCTCAGATCTTGTCGGTCAGATGAGAATAGAAAAGTTCTATTTCTATCCTCTTTTTTAGATTGACGTATCCAACTGTCGGAGACTAACTTTATATGTGCTCACACGATCCGTTTTTAGGATCCAACAAAATCGGATCCAACAAATCGGATGGAGTGAACGGGCCTTAATCAAGCGTGGCATACCTTATTTGGAATACATGCAAACAAAGCACGCGTCACAGAATAAATACATAATTTATTATGTATCTATCCTGTGCACGCGTTCTGAAAGTCGACGGTTAATTTCCGGCAAAAAATAGCTCCCGTGCTTTACATCTTATTTCATTTCACGTTTCAAATAATTTTAAAGATAAATTCATTACCATTTTGAACGAAAACAATTTTTTGATAACATGTTTATATCTCCAACAAATTTGTCTTTAAAATGATTTTTCATTAAAAGTATGATACTTTGTTTACTCTACCGATCAATCGAACGCATGTTTACAAACGTAAAAACGGACAATATTATAAAACTGTAGTTTTGTTTCCATTATTTCCTTTATAACATTTTGATAGGACCTTATTTCCGATGATTCTGTGCGACTGCGATAAAATGATGTATAGTTATTGCAAAGAGCAAACGTTTCATCGTATTCATAATTCATATTTCATGGTTGAACTCGCACCATGCGTTTAAATTATTTTTGACGTTTTGTTAAATCCACACCGATATTTCGAGTAATAATAAAAGCTCGAACGAAAATAAATACATGCTTACACTATATTTTGCTCACCGTGTGACCATAGAGCTCAAGATAAAAAATGTGAACCGAACTGGCTAAATACAAGGTGAATCCATTTCATGTATTTTTCTCCAAACGAGATATGTATAATTAATGTCAGTGATCACTCGATTTTAGTATCTACTGTATAACGTTGTTTAGGAAGCATATCTATTCGGATTCCACACATTTAAAATCAAATAGAAACTTACAGAAGTTCAAAAAGGTTCTATCTTATTGTGATTGTTCGTCCCCCCTCATTCCGTAAAAATCCCCCCAGAATTGTTGACAGACAGACACAAATCGAAATTTCACCTCTATATAGGTCGCGGGGGAAATGGGTCAAGTCATGTCAAGAATAGTGTGCTGCCTCGTATTAGCGTGGCAGCAATAATTGAAGCCGGAAGTTTGCTCATCTGATTAATCCTAAAACGTTTGTCTTCTTGGCTTCATAATGGCAGAAAATTGAGATGGTACAACGTCGACCTGCATTGTTTTGAAACAAACTGGAGATTATATCATGCTGCTGCTTCTTTAAAATGTAGAAATATTACAAAATCCTACTACTGCTACCAAAATTTCAACATTAAAATATGTCACAGGAGCTTTGGATATTTAAGATATGTGTTTGTTATACCCTTAATATACATGTGTTGGATTTAAACTATAAATTATTTTATTGCTGTAATTGTGCATATGGTTGTGCACTTACCAACCGTCAACAATTTAAGGAATTAATCGTGTACAACTAGACATGTTGTTAACATGACACTCAGAAAATATCGAATAGCATTGCCAAATGTAAAATTCGCATACATTGGAAATTGAATTACTTTTAGTTATAAGGGAAACGCAACCTTCCAATAGTCAGAAAGTGTAAGTTATACTTATGATATACCAAATGTACCCAGTATGTAAATTCTATAATTAGAGACTGCAAGGTTTGCGGACATTACCGTTGAAAACTCCGCACATCCACCTCAAGTTGTAAACACATTTCGTTTAAGATCATAATTCATGAGCGATGGATAGATTATATAAATAAAACTACGGCTTCCACTTTTCCTTGCGCACGACTGGCAAGTTTCTTGTACTTAGCAATATGTTTTATATCCATTACATGAGTTGTATCCAAATAAATCTTGCATCAATGGTTGATATTTGTTATGACTGTACTATACCCTTAGAGCCGGGGTCTATAAGATACACGTTCTCTGTTGTGAATAGAAATACATCATAAGCGTTATGTAGAATCCTGATTGATAGGCAATGTGTGTTTATTCTATGTATCCAAATATAATATTAATATACATAAGTTATATCCAATAATCACTATCGAAAACATAGTTGTTAGCTTTTCATTCCAAACATCACAAACCATTCAAGATTTACTTGGACAACTCTTTTAATGGTAATGAAACACTTAGTTGCTAGAGAAAAGCAAATTTATAATCGTGATAAAGTACAAGGTATACATTCAGGTCGGGTCAGGACAATAGTCTTGCTACCGGTAACCCACAAATCCGGTACCACCTGTTGGTGGGTCGGGCTGTCGGCGACTCAATCGACAACCCCCCTACCTCCATGGGAGAGGATGTACTTCGATATCCATAGAGAACCAAAAACAACATCTGTTAAAGCCCTGAGGGCAAATCCAAGGTTGCACCGTGGCAGCAACTAAGGGCGGAAATAGACAGACTTATCCTCCGGCCAGCCGCTGCAGCAGGGTGAAAATACTAGCATGTCTCGACCTGTTCTTGCCCGCTAGATCACTTTTCCTACCTGTCGAGAGAGTGCCCTGGTGTCGCGAAAGCCAGAAGCCACTAAAAATCTTCGCAAGCAGATTTATGGAAATGGAACAGATGACTAACTCTAATACCGGCTCGAACGTCGGCCGGGTCAACAAGGTTCGCGCTGGGTTGCTCCCTCTCCGGCACCCAGTGAAAAGTAAGCTAGGAGTTCAAGGTAACAACAGGAAGCGTCTGAGTATAGCTGAATGGAATGTTAGAACCTTGATGGACAGAGAAGTCTCAAAAAGACCGGAACGACAAACAGCATTAGTTGCTAAGGAGTTCAGTAGATATAATATTGATATTGCTGCTCTTTGTGAAACTCGACTGCCTGAGTATGACAGCATCGTAGAAGATGGTTACACTTTCTTCTGGAGTGGAAAGGACGTAAATGAGAGAAAGGAATCTGGAGTGGGGTATGCTATGAAAAATGCCATAGCCCAGAGCCTTGAGCAGGATCCAACACCGATCTCTGATAGAATCATGATTGTGAGATTGCCACTGCTAAAGAGATGTTCCGTATCCATTGTGAGTGTATATGCACCGACTTTGACAAACCCTGATGAGAACAAAGAGGAGTTCAATAGTGACCAGAGAGACACAATCAAGAATGTCCCAAACACCGATAAGCTGATAATTCCTGGTGATTTTAACGCTCGAATTGGGACAGAAGCACCGGGTACATGGTACCGGCAAATATAATTCCAATGGTGAACTCCTCATGGAATTCTGCTCCGAATACAGGCTTGTCATCACAAACACTGTCTTCAAACACAAGCCTCATCATCAAACTACTTGGATGCACCCGAGGTCGAAACACTGGCACCTCCTGGATTATGTGATCACTAAAAGGAAAGACCTACACGATGTCCTTGACACTAGGGTAATGAGAGGTGCTGACTGTGCAACAGACCACAATCTGGTCCGGTCAGAATTAGCTCTGAGGGTGAGACCGCCAAGAAGGAGAACCCAAGGAAAGCCTCCATCTAAGCTGAAGGTGAGAAGACTAAGGAGCCCCAAGTGCCAACAGGAGTTTGAGGAGAGGATGGAAAAGAACCTGGACTACATAGCAAATGAGGATGCTGGTGTTGAGAAGGAGTAGGAGATTCTGAAGACAGCTGTGTCTGAGACTGCGGAGAA